GCTGTTTTATGGTAAAATATTTACGATTCGGTATGTAAAGTGGCGTTTCTTGTGTACCTATCCGGTGCCTTCTCATACAACGCCTCGTTTAGTTGCACGATTTATTATTTGCAACCCGCACTGCGCCTCTGATGTCCGTGTCCGCTGTCCTTCTCTGGTCTGGAGTTTGCTTCATTCGCTCAGCTGTCAATTTGTATCCTGGGTGCATTTTTTTTCCTCTTATTTCTTTCATTCTTAATTGGCTTCGAGTTTCCATCCGAATCAGGATATCTGAAATGTCAATAAAAGAAATAAATGGAATTTAATATAAAACTGGCACGTATAAGACTACCTTAATGTTGATAGTGTAAAAAAAAATCGTCATCGACTAATATTTGACATTATTATTAGCAAAGCAATTCTGTCAAACGTTAGAAGTTTAATATTTCGCGTATAGCAAAAAGAATTGTGTAGCTAAACTCTGGGACACCAGTCGAGCGAGCTAATTTGATTAAAGAAAACATAAATTGCTAAAATATGAATTGAAGAGTGTATGAATAAATATTGAGAACACTGAATTTAATTAATATGAAGTGATTTACGCAGCTCATAGCTACATTTTATCTTTCAAATCACACTTAATCCATCTGCATTTTAGTGATGTACTTTGGGGCAATAAATTCAAGAACAACTGTGCTCCCTCTTCAGACAAACTACTTCAAACTAACGCATGGAGCATCTATGTATATGTAGACACCAACAAATATATATGGTGACAAACTGCTGGGTACTGGGCAGCTGCTGCAGCTGATCTTTTACTGCAGTTGCTTCTGCTGTTCCAACTCCTGGAGAGAGGCCCTCGGCTTTCTGGCTGCGCTGCCCGTTTTTGTTACGAAGATTTTAACTGTCAGCAACTTGGGCGACTTAATTTGAATTTACGGTGCTACGAGGAGCGGCTGGCACTGCTGCTGCTGCTGCTGGTGCTGCTGCTGCTGCTGCTGCTCTGAGTCGCATTGGGCTATTATTTCGCACAAACTCCATTAAATACGAAGTAGAGCACCTAATGGGTTTATTGTTGTTGTCGTCCCTGGGTCGTGGTCTGTCCCAGCTTCGTGTGTGCGCGACAATAATATTCAAATGCACGGCTCTGTCGACAGTGTTGCACTTGGTTTTTTGTTGGCTATGTGCGGGCGCTGCCAATGGGGCGTGGCTTGACGCTTATCAACCGAGTAGTCAGCGCCTAGGTACTCACTTTTCGCCTGGCTATGCGCTCCTAGACTCGCACTCCTCGTCCTCGCTGTCGTCATGCAGCTCGCTATGGTCTCGAGTCCCGCCTGCATTTTCATATTTATGTGTCTCTAGATAGCGCCATAGCAGTCAAAAGTTTTTCGCTAACACTTGCCACACACACACACACACACACATACACACATCCTGTGTGTGTATGTTTATATGCTAATACTTTAGCACACATGCTGAGCACTATTATCGCAGCTGCCACTTGGGCGTCGAACTTCCGTTTTCCTGCTGTTGGATCTCAAGGCAATTCTGCAGCATTGCAATTTTGCTTTGACTTTGGTGCATGTTGTAAAATGAATTTTACTTCATTTTGATATGTTCTCCCTGTTGGTTTAGTGTCGGCTACATAAATACATGTGACTTGCACATAGATATGCGAGGTGTTTTGTGTGTTTGTTTTGCCTGTTAGTTGCACTATCGCAATGATAATAAATTGTAATAATCTCGCTGTCACAAACACACACATACACACACACACAAGCACACACTCTTCTACATGATGTATGTGCGTAGCCAGTGCTTGGCAGTCGCTAATCATTGAACCATTTCTAGCAGATACATATATACATATACATATATTGCATTAAAGTATCCATTCGATGGAGCATTGAACTTTTGGCTGAAAAATGCACGCAAGTCAAGTTTACAAATAGAGTGGAAATCAACAAAAAACTGAATGCCATAATCTCACTTATGGTAGGAAATAGAATTATACATTATTATAATCAAACGAAATGTGCAGAAAAATTAAAATAAGCGAAATTGCAATATAAATTTATTAGTAAAGGTAGTATTTCTCCATCAAAAATATGAATAATTCAAATGCAATGCTATTATTAATGTTTATCTTTTAATTGCGATGTTAAGCTTATTATAAGATACGATTAATCACTAATTAATCAAATACAGTGCCGGCATTAGCACTGAGTACGGCGGATACCCAAGACCCACAACGCAGGCGACTTTCAATTTATTTCCGCCATCGCCACTTTGTTCGCCATGAAGCCGGAGGACGGGTAAAATTTTGTGTAATTAATATTCTGAATTCTAATTGGATGACTTTTTTATTTTGTAGTGAAACAAAAAAAGTAACAACAAGCCGAAAATTGTATACCCTTTTAGACCGGTGAGCTCAAGTTCCCCGTACTTGTTTCTTCTTTTTTTTTTATAATAAAATAAAACATTCTTTTAAACAAGCATAAATTGGATCTTTATTATTCAACATTTCTGTAGTCATATTGTATAAGAAAGGATGACATCTGTCTTCAATCTTTCCAGCGATTATACCTATGGCAGTTATATGATATATGAACTGATTTAGATGTCTTTAAAACTGATGAAATCCAATTGTTTACAATAAATGAGGACATCCGGGCAGACGGACTTGCATTGTGGCGCTGATCAAGAATATATATACCGTATGGGACTGGAGAAGACTCCTTCAACGCAAAAACATTGTAAATATGCAAACCTGTAAAATCGACAAGAATTAATTCATTATATTCTACTAATTAAAGGTTGTTATCAAAAATATTTAATTCATCTGTGGACGACATGCACACAGTCCCCTAAAAGTTCGAACCATGCACTAAACCGAAGAAGCCACCGAAAGTTTTCCTCAAAAATAAATACAAAATTAGCTAATCAAACATTTATGTAATTTCTGGAGCACTAACACCAACCTCGTGGAAATGTGCAACGAGTTCCAGTTTGGATCAAACTGAAATAATCCTCCCAACCCACACTGCCAGCAATTAAGCCCTTAGTGCAGTAGATTTGGTAAAGCTGCCGCTGGAGCAGTGCTGCGGGCTTGTGCCCTGTGTCCATGGAAAAGGCTAAGCAGCAAATTTGATAATGTTGGCCGCAGTGCTTTCATATATAAGTTGCTGCAGTCTGACGCTCTTGTTGCTCCAGGAAATACAGCTCAAAACCAACAAACGCCGGAAATTCGCCGCTGTCGTCGTGGCTCGTTTAAAGTTTCTGCATTAAAAATAGGGCCAACCAACTGGCCTCAAACTGGGGTGGGGGTTTTGCTTGCAGCTTCTCTGGACGGCTGTGGTTGCCAAATCTAATTGCAAATTTTATTTAGCGCCAACTGTCCAACGCACTCTCTGTCCTGTGTCTACAATGTGGCAGAAGGATATCTACTTGTCTGGTGTTTTTTGCTCCACATTTTCCCGATTGGTCGCAGTATATAATAAAATGTATTTTGCAAAATACAAGTGGATACGAAAAATAAAAACAAAAATAAAATAAAATGTGAAATTATTTGCAAATGTCCACTTTTTGAGTGGATGTTCTAACGACCAACTCCCTCAGGATTGTTGGCCTTAATTTATTTGCTGCCTTTAGTATGGATTTGTTGGTCAAACTCATTGACAAAGCGTCAAAGAAAACTTTGTTTTTGTTTGCTAATTAATTAAAAATAATTGAAAGTTTTGTCTCGACATTGAGATTGTCGAGTAGTCGTTAATTCTTCAATTGAAGCCCAATGAGAAATGCAAAAATGATTTTTGCCCCTGGGTCACCAGGGAAACAGCAACTACAGACATGCCAAGCACTTGACTGACGTTTTGCCAAATATGACAAGAATTTGATGCAGGCCCCGACAGAATACGGAGCTGCAATGCTATGCTATGTGGCTGGTCGAGATGGTCGACGTGAAGTGCACTTTAAATCGAGCACAGCCAAAATGGCACAGAGAAAAGTTTAAGGCACTTTTGCCACAATTATGCAAACGTTGCCAAATGAGCTACATTCATGCCCCTCATTCACGTGACGGCCTAGGAAATGAGCAATGAAAGTGCGACAAGTGCGTGGCAGGTGGAGTGTGCACAGCAATTAGGCAACACAATGTACGAGCCCCGAAGACACAGAGCAACTAGGATAAAGTTTACGTTGTTTTACTTACTTTAGAAAACCAACTTGCGAGCATTGTTGAGGGGTTGGGCAAAAATGTTTACATAACAAATCTGTTTGGATTAGTGTGAATACTTATCAAGTTAAGACAGAACTCAGGAAAACCTATTAAATAAAATCGACTTAAAGTTGAATACAAATCAAATTTGGACGATTTATCGATAAGAATTTCAAATTTCAAAGATAAATAAATAAAAAAAATTAATGAAAATTAAAAATTTAATATGTGAAAAATAAATTAAATTAAAAATACAAATTAATATTAATAATTTTAAATGTAAAACAATTAAAATAAGAAAAATGTATAGTATTTCTGGGGGTACTCAATTACAAAATTGGTACAAAATTTGTTGCGTAAATTGGAAAACCCAGAAAAAAAAACCGAAACAGACCCAAAATAAAAATCAGTTAGCATGAATCAATTAAGATGCCAAACAACAACTGCATATGAAAATGTTATTTACGCGAAATGTTTAAAACTGAGTTTTTAATGATAGTAAAATCGCACTCTGAGTTGATTAAATGGTCTATTGTAATAATTTTAGAATCCTGGAAAAGGCTAAGAATAATTAGTGTTGCATTAGTATTGTTTAAGAGAAAATTGGATGAAGTAATGCGAAGGTTACGCGGGAACAGAAAAAATAGGTATTATCTTGATCGTTTTACTATTTACTATTCTGTATGGAATTTAAGAATTACATTCTTTACGAATATAGATGGAAATAAGAAATATTCTTTGTTGTAAATGGCTGGTGGTGCAAAAGATTAAATGAGAATCACATGGATCGTTATTTATGCTCTTTAATTATAAATAAATCAATCAAATAACTATTTACAATTTATGTTTCATGAATTATGAATAAACGACTTGGAAATCATGGATATAAATTGCTTGCGTGTTGTTGAACTCGCAGTGTTAATTACATTATTAATCTGGGAATCTTGTGAAATGTGGAAGAATGCAATATAATGAAATGTGGTGGAATTTTCAACGTGTGCCTTTTGGTAATGCCATTGGATTTTTGCTCTTCTCTGGAAGTGGTTGTACTTTGCAGCTGGTACAGTCCGCCGACGGTGAAACGGTAACAAGGTAGGAGAAAGAACCTTCACTTCGCCGGCGTTTCTCCTGCGCTGGATGCGGGAACTGCAAGTTCTTCAGCAGATTACGAATCTGATTGATAATCGGCAATTGGGGTGATCTCAAATTTTTGGACAGACGTAAACTGCTGGGCTTGTTCTCAGTTAGTAATAAGGTTGAAGTGCTACCCTTGTACGAGCAGATATTTTGTGATTTGGCTATAGGCAGTTGGCTTATGGTGGCGGCACGCATCAGACGCTGTGAAGTCGGATGGGACCTTAGGCAGATACATGATGAGGTCGCCTGAATCGGCTCATTTCGATTAATGTCAAACGTGTCTTGGCGGCTGAGGTTAATTTGCTTTGCCCGTGATACGGAAGACACTATTCCATTCTGCTGCTGCTCACGTAGCTGTTCCAACTGAACACGAATTTCCTCGATTCTTGAAACATTTGGCACCAATTTTGCGGTACGAGCGAAATTCGCAATAGGCATTATCGATTTAGTCTCTTCTTCATCTACTGTCAGCACAGCTAATGTTAACAGTTTGAGATCATCCTGGAAATTCAGTTCATCAGTATCAGCTTTCCCCGAATCGGTTGTGGGCTCAACACTTGTTGCGGACCTTTCGTACTCCAACCAAGGAAGCACTGCGCATTGTTTTTGCACCCAATTCATGCGCTTCTCCTCCCGCTTGAAGAGTGCCACATGCAGCTGGTGACGCGTAGTCGCACATATTCCATCGACCAGCAAGAACGGCACGCCTGCAATGTCATTAAATGCGTTCGGTTTATTAGTTTGGGCAGCTTCACTGACATGATTAGGTCTGACAATCGAAGGAGGGTGGCCATCATGCGGCGATGCATTCGCCGTTTTCCCAATTTGGCTATTTTTTTTGCTCATTGTGCCTGTGTACAGGTGCGATTTGGCAAGTTGGCATGTTGAAAAAGTGTCAGAAAAGTGTTCAATTAAATGCAAATCAAGTCATAATCGACGCTCACATCGTTTCCAGTGCCAGCTGGCAATCGTCATATTTGATTTGCATTTAATTGCTGCGGAAATAATTTGGCACACGTCTAGACTGTGTCATCCGCCAAGTTTTGAGTCTCACCTGAGCCAGAATGATTCAATAGTTGCTCCTGCTGTTGCTTTACCTAAGCTTATATCCTTCAAAAGTACTTAGCCTGAAATCAAATTGAAAAGGATACACAAGCTTACCAGCCAAAAAAAAAGAAGAAAACATATATAAAAAAAAATAAAACCAAAAAAAAATTGCTTTAAGTCCTTAGGCGTCTTTTGGGGCCACAACGCGCACTTGCACGGCTGACAGACGCCTTCTGCTTTGCTCCGGCTGTTGGTTTTGTGGGCGGCGAAATCCGTATTGCAAAACTTTATTTCGTCCTGACAAAAAAAACTTAAATGTTGCTGCTGCCTGGCTGGCTGCCTGCCTGGCTGGCTGGCTGTGAATCTTAAATGCTTGATATTCCCGAAAGGTTAACAATTTAAGCTTTTGCTCCCCACTTTTGGTGTGTTTGACTTCAGCCTTTTGCTCAATTTTTTTTTGTTCTCTCTCGAATTTTGCAAAACCGCAATGTTTAAGGCGACCAACCACAGCCACATAGAAATAGAAATATTGTTGGGCTGGCAACCAAAATAATAGATACGGGTGCGCTGTGTTAAAGTGTCTGTTTTGCAGTTTGCTGTTATTTATTCAGTTGGGCTGCTGGCTTCTAAAATCAGAGAACGTTTACCCAGTTGGCAGTATGGCTAAACCATAGAAATGAATTTGTAGTTTATTTATTATTATCAAAAAATATATATATTTATATATTAATATGTATATGAAGCCTTTCAGGTGAATACTTTTAAAAAGCAAGACTGGCTTCAGTTCTGAGTTGAGAGCATGGCCCACTTTGTTGATGAGTATTTTGGTTAAGTTTTATCGTAAAGGTCGCATTTATTTTATACGCTTTCTGTATCCTTATTCTCTTATTTGTGCTCTCTAACCAACAGTGTTCTCTCTCTATCTCTCTCTTTCTCTCTTTGTACTAAAAATGCTTAGAGAGAGCGATCCGAACGCACAGACGAAGCAGGCAGGCGAGCACGAGCACGCTGAAAGGGATGCGAGTGTGAACGATGTTGCTACAGTTGCCGACACTGGACAATTAGACACACTGAGTTAGCTGAGTTGGCTATGAACAAGTTGAATTGTGGCCATGCCCGGGACCGTTCAGTCAAAATCGGTTGGGTCTTCGGTACGGACGTGACAGCGGTTGATAAAAATACGGCAACGATGGCATTTAAACGGCGCACAAAACTGACGGATAACGTGTGTAAATTTAATATGCGGTTATGGAATTAGCTGTCTGATACGTTACGTTATTTCGACATGCTCGTGTTTAATGACCTTTGCAAAACTCACCTATTGCTTTGGCCAATTAAGTGTGTGTGTGCGTGTGTATGTATATGTGTTAAGAAAGGCAACTGATGCGTGAAACTTACTTGTGTGATATTGTTTTCAAAGTGCGCGGGCAATTAAAGTTTCAGACTCGCTGACGAGTGACGCCTGATGGTTGTTTCCTGATGGACGCCTGATGGTTGCCTGATGGTTGCCTGCTGCAAGTCAGGACTTAAATTGCATGTCACGGTTGTTACATGACATGAAACTCTGCGTGAAAATACCATAAAGTTTAACGTACTAAGCCGTATTGTCTGCTTAAAGCAAACACAAATACACCGATTAACAACGGAATTGGGTGACAACCATAAAATCAACAATAACAACAGCAACAATAACAATGGCTGACAAATCAAAAGCCCAAAAATACACATTTTTAGGCATGTGGATTTGCATATGGAGTAATGACTAAGAGGACTTCAATTAAAGGATAATTTTTGTAAACTGAATTATGTAAGTACATAAAGTAATTGGAAGGGTATTGCTAATTATGCAGAGTTGTTGGTTGACGAGTAAACGAAAAAAGTCTGATAACAGAGTGCATAGTACAATTTTGGAATATACTAACACTACACACTCAAAAGCTAAACTCTTTAATTACACTAGAAAAACAACAATGGATAGGGGTAGTCATTTACCCCATTAGCAAACATTGTTACAAATCCAAAGCTGAACAACTCTCAGGGGAGGTGAGTTTCTGTCGTTATAAACAATGTATATTCCAGTGGGCAAATTATTTGATTACTCCTCTCACAATGGCCACTCAGACCGCCGTAGACCAACAATGGAAGGCAGACGCCACAAATTCAATTAAAATTCAGCCGAAAATATATGCAAATTATACAATGGCAGAAGCGATGGAATGATGGACTGTTGGAGCTTCATATTTAGTGAATGTAATGTAAGCATATAATGAAAAAAGAAAAAAAATAGAACAGACGCAGTCATAGAATATAATTTAATATACATATTTATTGATCCATACAAATCCATGCGTACATGTCTAGGAAAATAACAAGCTTTGCTTTTATTCGGATTGTTGAGTGGCTGGCATTTATAAAAAAAAGTTCATTGTAGCCGCGTAATTGACATTTTTCGAATTCCATAAATATTTAATCTTGTGGTGTGCCCACATTTGTCTTCTCTCTCTCCCTCTCTCTCTCTCTCTCTCTCTCTCTCTCTCTCTCTCTCTCTCTCTCTCTCTCTCTGTCACTCTGTCACTCTCTCAATAAAGTTGATGTCAGTCTTAAGCGCAACTTAAATATTTTTTTTTACACTTTCCTTGCCGAAACTTTTCAAATTATGTGTCATTTCTTTCCACAAGATTTCACGTCTGTAAAATGTTACTCAAACTGTAACATTTCTTCTATCCTTTTACCAATTTTTTCTTTTTGATAAAAGTTTGTATCGTTAAAAATTATGCAGACATGGCCATATGTTTGAAGCCTCGTAAAAAAAACTTTCTCAACGATTTTATCAGGAGAAAAAAGTGTAAATGTGCATAATGAAATGAGCTTTCTCGACCAGAAAGCCCAACATAATTTGCAGTCCTTTTGGGAAAATCAAATAAAATGTAAATGCACAAAAACTCAAATAAAAATATAAAAATATATGCAAAAAATATATATAACATTGATTTAACAAAAATATATTTAGTTTGACAGAAATTGGAATGAACCCTTTGATATAAATGGTTATTACGTTGCTTATATCGTATTTATTGAGGCATTTTATAATCACCAGTAAACTCATTTTATTTTCAATATTTTCCATTTAGTATATTCATAAATTGTTATATCTATTTATTTTGAAGAGGTTGTTATTGTTGGGATATATGGGAAACTCGAGCACGTTATTTCACTTTAGTAGATTAAGGTAGACTTCCTTTGACGATGCGTTCAATTTCCGGCTCAGACGCTTGGTTTTGCGCAGACAAGCTGTCACTTATATTTTACTTAGTGTTTTTCATTAAAAATTAATTTTCCACGTAAATTCACTGAGATGTAAAAATAAACCACAATCAGCTGTTTGCTTTTAATTTCCAGTTGGAAATCCCCAAGCTTTACTTCTATATGTTTTATATGAAATTTACTTAGCGCTGCTCGTAAGAATAAAATATTAAGAAAAATTGAGCCCATAACTCATACGCCGTGGATGCTCAAGGTGCGAATAGCAATTTCGCCTGAGCTGCCAGGACGTTGGTTTTTATTTATATATTTATTATTTTTTTTACTTTTCCTTCTAACCCACAAATCTTCCATATAGCAGTTAATTTTGACGTGACACCCATGTTTGAGTGCGGTAGCCTTGGCTTTGGTAGTAAAGAGTCGCTGATGTTGCCCGACAGCAGTCTGAGGTGCCACGTCAGACAGCTTAGGCCGCAGCCACAAAATGTTGTCATTGCAATAAGGCAGGTTGTATGTGGGAGCTACTACTATTTATAGACATCAGAGATATGTATATTTTAAGAATTGTTTCGTACTTGCTTTTTTTTCTCAATGCTATTCATTCTGACGTGTTTGGTTTATTGTGTGTAATTTCTTTATGTTAACGTGTCTTTTGATGAAAGTAGGAGTTATTAATATATACCACGTCACTAAAATAAAGTTGCTATCCTTATCTTGTTGCTCTATACAACAGGTTTACTTTAAATCACGGATCTACAAATCTTTTCTTTTTTCTCAATTTTTTTTAAGCTGTTTAATGTGCTGGTTTTGAAAAAACATTGACTGTTGATGGCATTATACCTTGTGATACTTAAGTTGTGCAGCTGCAACAAAGGAACAAAAAAATCGAGAGATTATAACCCAAAGTTTCCCACACCGCCACACAACTGTGGCAAATCTCAGAACTCTTCTTCCACCTCCACCTTATCCCAACTCTGCATTGCCAACTGTGCTTTTTGCAGTTGCATTCACTTGCTTTATATATTATTGTGAGCTCTTTTCTGTTTCATGTAGCATTGCCCCTGAAACGGCAGACGGATAACTTCTACGATGCCGTCGGCATTAAAAATTAAAGTTCTTTTGTTTCCTGTATATTGTTGACTGATTCCATTCTAGCCTTAAGAAAATATATATATGTGTTTAATACCAACGTAGATTTAACGTTTGCTTATGTCGTGAACATTTTCAGTGTGCAAAATACATTGTTTATTTTATGTTAGTGGAAACCATTTTTGTAAGACTTTTACCTATAACATTTTAAAGAGGTAAACAGTGCCATAAAAAATGTTGACTGTTTGCGTTCCTAAAATGCGACATCATTAGCTCTCATGTGTACCTGCACATAAGTAATGATAATTTATTAATTTTATGGTTAGTTTAGGATAAGGAAGTTTTCGGCATTGACGCACCATGAAAACACCATAAACACTTTGCGCACACATTTGGGGCTCTCTGGCTAAAAAATAAGTTTTTATATGGGCGCTCATAAACTGGTTTTATTTTGAGAGCTGAATATTTATCCACTCACATGTCAGAATATGTACGCAGTGACACACATCTGAGTGTGTGTATATTTTACGAGTTTACCACTATATTTAAAGGCTCTTAAGTTTTACGGCTTCCAAGGACTTTTCGTGCGCAATCTATAAAATTAAATATATTGCCATGGCTTATATTACGCTATGTGTTTGAACTGCCGCTCACACTTTAATAAAACAAATTTGATGACTTTTCAATATCAACAGCTGCGTCTATTGCTTACTTACAAACAAGGAGTGCAAAGGATATTAGGAAGTTTCTTTTAACAGTGCACTCTGTATTCTTGATCAGCATCAACAGCAAATTGATTTTGTTTGTACATAACTCATAATTTATAAAACCACCATAAAGTTAATTGCTAATTAATTATTAAATTTTTTATTTTTTACGTAAAAAAAATTAAATATATTCTAAAACTGTGAAATATTAAAAATAAATGCATAACATAAAATAAAAAAGTTAGGTGATGGTAAAATATTGACTGTCGCCATAATTTATTTTTTAATTGGATTAAATGTCAAACATTTTGATGTGTGCCAACATCAATTTGCAGCGTTGAATTTTAATGTGATTTTTGGCAATGCAGCCGCAAAGCGACGGAAGTGAAGCCTCACAGCGACAACACGTGCAACAATAAGTATACCTATTTACTGCCCATTATTATATCCCTATAATCAAACTGAACATTTAGTATAACTCAATGCATGTATATAAAAACATACATATATATAAAATATATATAGAGAGGGTATAGAAAATTGTGTCAATATCCGAATTGTATGTGTCGGTCCCCAGTTGTGTGTCAAATTGAAAATCAATATTATACGCAAATAGGCAGCAGCTTGACATCTTTGATGGTAGGTGCAATGGGATTAATAGGGTCAGAGTTTAAATTTAACTTGTCCACCCATTGCTGCAGCAAACTTAAAATATTAAATGCAGCATATAAGGCATTATTTGCATTAAATGCAATTTTTTAGTTTTTTTTTGTCTTACAGAGCTGAAGTTGGCATAACTGATAACTGAGATCAGCAACCACACACTAAAAAAACATGACCCCAGAAAGTTCAAACAACTATTTGAAAGATAAATAACTAAAAACTGAACGTTAGACCAAAGGGACAAGTTTTTTGATTGTTGTTGCTAGTTGTTTTACAATAATATAGTGTGGCTGCAGCTTTAATAACTTTTGCAGCAGCAACAACCACAAAAAGTTCTTGGTGAAGACAACGATAGACAACAAATGAGAGATGTTAGGATGCAGCATAACAAACAAAAACCAAAGTTACACTTAGTGCTTACACTCAAAAAAAAATATCGCCCTGCATTTTAAGAACCGCTATCTTTCTAAAATGTAGAACAATATATATAAAATGTATGAAACATTCGCTTCTTTGTTATTATTATTATTAAACATTACTACTTAAATATTTCACATATGCAAGTATTTTAAATGGCTTATAAAAACTTATCTAATTTAATTTGACAGACAGCAGCTAAACTCTAAAATAGCAGTCGAGAGAGCAAATTAAATTTTTATTTTACGAATTTCAGAAAGTATTTTGTTTAAAAAATAAGCATATGCATTTCTACTTATTTATTTTAGAAATATTTTCTATTGTTAAGAAATATATTTCTGAATAATGGGAAAGAAGCATTTTTAATTTAAAGACATTTTCACATATTTCTTTTTCACATATTTGTCTAGCAAATTTTTTAGTTCTTACGACAATATTTATTTCATCAGTTGACTTGGGACAACCCTCGTTGGGTGAAAATAGTTTAAGCAAAAAGAAAAAAAAGATATATGAGGCAGTGCTCAAACCAAAGACGAATTCCATTTGTAGCTCAGAGTTTGCCCAACATTTAAGCAACTGAAAATGGCAGCTGAATTATGTTAGTTAGTTAGTTGGCTGAATTACAGAACGACTTGCATAAGGAATATATATAGCGCCCCTCTATGGTTGCTCTCTTAAAAATGCCTTCATGCCGTCAATCTCGACATTTTCGTGGTGTCGTCCGTCGCACAACTCAATTTTAGTTGGCAATGCTTTGCAATGCAAAATGGCCACGGAAAGTTTTTACTGCATAATCGCAGAAGAAGCGCTTTTCACTCACAGATAACAACAAACGCAATACGACTAAATAAACTTTACAAGACACTACAAACTTTGTGGAAACTGCGCATAATGTCCCGGAGGAGCAGAAATAGAAATGGGAACACACAAATTCATCTGCGTCTGTGGGCAAAAGTATCAAAAAGTTTCAGTTTGCCAAATGCAAAAAGAATGAGACAAGGAACGAGACCTAAGCTGAATTCGACGTCGTTAAATTCTGTATTTTTTTTATTTTTTTATTTTTTTCGTTACGATTTCATCCCTGATGATTTTAGATTTGTATTTCATTAAGAACACATGGTTCGAGAGTTTGGTGACTTCGAAAGCTGAATCACACACAAGGCATATATTTTTGGAATTTCATGTTGTTTTGACATTAAGGCGATTTGTTAGCTGGGCTGTGCCACCGGACAGCTGTGGTATTAACTCACTATTATTGTGGCATGTGTTGTTTGATTAAGAGTGCCGCGTAAAATCACCTTTTGATTAAATCATTGATAAGAAACAACACAATGCTAACAAGGGAAAACACAAAAAATCGAAACTATATATAGCAACATTTATTTACTCGTGCAACACTGAGTTGTCACTATTCTTGAGTAAAGGCGTCACATTAGAAGGTGGACAGTAAATCACATGCTGATAAAGTAATCATGGTGACCATACAAATAAAACGTTAATCCAGTGGAAAAAATGATTTTAATGTACTTCGTGAAAGTTTTTCAATTAGTTATTTATTAATATTAATTGTAATACATTTATATACATATGTTACAATTAATAACACAAGTAAAAAGTTTTTCATATATAAGTTGTACTCGTAAGAATACTAATAGGCATACATTTTTGCTAAGTATTAATCACATGCAATCATTCAATCTTCTTCAAATTGTTGATGAATCTATACATCAATATTATGTCATCTTAATCCAGTTGATTTCCATAAGTTACAGAGTCTAATTACTAATATATCTATCTTATGAAAATCCATTTGATTTTTTTTATTTGCAGACTTGCATTTAATAAGGCATTCGGAGCTTGGAATTGCTTAACTCAAGACTCAATACTCAGCCAACTGTAAATAGCAACAGGCCGAAATTTATGCGAAAACTTGCTCAAAGTAATAAGCAAAGAAAGCTAAACAAAAATAAAAAAGCAATGCCAACAAAAGCCACAAACAAAAGGCGCAAAAACTAAACTAAACAACTATCAAGAAGGAAAAGAGAAAATCACTTAAATCGGCAAGAAAACAGCTTACAAAGAAAAACAAAACGCAGAAAACAGAAACAGCAAAGAGGAAAAAGTGAACTCTAAACGCATTGCATAACCGGCCCTAAGCAGAACGTCGTATCATTAGCCCAGCTTAAGGAATTATTATGCTATAAATATGAGAAACACTAACGATATACACATCATTGTGCTCATTTGCTGTTTGCTACAAGGTGAGTGCAACAGTTTTTAAGGAAAAGTTGATGATACGAAAAGGCAAGATTGGGTATACACACTCAGGAAAAAACGGATCCCTGAATTTTAGAAAATCACTATACTTTTGGGCGTCAAAGTTAACTCTACCTATTATTCAGAAAGTATATTTCAAAAATGAAAAATTTTGTTTTTATAAAAATCAGAGTTTTTGTTTGCTTAATTCCATGGTACATTTTTCTAAAATCTAGATAAATTATGTCCAGGGTGTTTTTATTACAAGGCATTAACATTAGATCTTTTGTTACTTGTAAAATCATTAATATTTTTAAATCTCATATATACACACGTTTTATTTATTTTAATTTAATTTGACAGACAGCAATATAGGGTTTGCAATATAGACAATATAGAAATATATTCTATTATTAAGAAAAATATTCCTGCAAAATAGAAAGCAGCCTTTCTAATTTTAAGATAGTTTGTTTCGTATGTCAGAAAGAAGAAAACTTTACAGTTCTCATGACGATTTTGGGGCGATTCTCTTTCTGAGTGTACGATGCCACCTAGAGAGGGGACTGTCGGCACCCTGCAAGTCAATAAAAAGCAAATTGTAACTGCTGAACAATGTTGCTTGTGGCATTTTAGCACCTCGATACACACACACAGGGAACGTTGCCACACTCCCACATAGCTGCCTCTGTGGCATGTGTAGTCTTTGACTGCGTGCATGCGTGGACTCCGAGCAGCACAACCAACGTCAATGGCACACCCAGCTCGAATGCCTCCTAACCCCTGCAGCGACTGTTCGTTTCGCTCATTTTTTCTGTGTGCCGCATGTGGTGCGCATACAAATAAGCTACGATTCGGTGCCCGGAACTCAATTTCACCTGTCTTCAATCTGGTTTATTTATAAAAAGAAAAAGACATTATAATTTTAACTTAATGGAATTTGTGCACTGCTTTTTATCGCCTGTTGAGCGCGATGACGTTTTAAGCTTGAAATCAGCTCAGTAGATACTCAATTCTGTTTAAAACAGGCAGCCGTGCCTCTCAGTGACACGTACGTATATGCTGTAGTTGACATATGTGGCATATTGCGATCCGTTGCAGCTCCCAGAAGAAATCAGCCATATGCATTCACAAACGTTGCGGCTGTGACATACAGTGAGTTGCAGCTGCTGTCGCATTTGCATTGACACAAATTCCAATTCATTTTGCAAATATGTATCGTAATCCTTCTCAAAGTGCGCACATGCCAAACGCATAGTTCATTCCAAAGGGGCAGGCATTGCGGCATATAGTCATCTTACTGGCATCGTCAAGCCTGCAATAAAAGCTTTAACGTTTTCGAGCAGCCTCAGCAAATTGTTTGGCGAACGTGTGTCGGATGCACGTCTGTCTCCAGAGCCCAGTTCAATTTATGTGCGAATTAACTTCATACTCAGGATGCGTATTGCACAGTAATCCCTTATTTTATTAAAAGTGCCTTCAAATGGCATGTTGTCACTCTGATTACCATGACACTCATCATAGCTCTGGACAACGAATTTATGGACAGGTCATTCTAGTGCTAAAGTTATACTTATTATTTAGAAGAAAACAAATATAGAAAATCGCCCTTAAAATTAGAAAAGCTGTTTTATATTTAAAAATATATATATGTCCCTTAATATTATAATATATTTCTAAATAGTCTTTGTAAATGTGAAATCTTTAAATACTAATGTTTAATAATAACAAAAAACACATTTGAAAACTACGCTAGAGGTTAAATATATAGTTTTTAAAATTAAAAAAAATTACCTTGGAATTAAGAAAATAATTTTCGGGTTTTTTACAAAGACACAATATGCCGTTTCAGAAATATACTTGCTATATGCCAATAAGATGAGTTACCATTGGCGCCAAAAATGTGTCGACTTCAAAAAAGTGTGGCAATTTTCTTTTTAGTGTTTGTAAGAGTGCTAAGCTTAATTGAAGACTCTCCCACACCTGTCGTCAAACTTTTAATTTCAAAATGCTTGCCAGTCGCTAGTTGCAGCTCTTTGCTTTTGCGCTTGTTATTTTATTCATAAATGTTTTACTAAAAGTCATAAGGATTACTTCGCTCAGTGTTACAGCAAACAGAATACACAGCAGGATTCTTGCTTAGTGAAGTACGTTTACAATTTCACACACATTTGCATCGGTTGTCATGTCAGACCCGTTTAAAGTTGCATTGTTGCAGTCTTTGTTGTTGTTGCTGTTGTTTGGTTTTTTTCGTGTAGTTGTTTTGCGGATTTGCGCCGGATTTATGTCAACTTGAATACATCAGAGGCGCTTGCATAGACTTGCTAGTTTGGTGTTGCTGTTGCCGCTTGTGGTGGCTCTAAACAAAAATGCATACGCAATCGCGCTGCAACGGGGCGTACGAGTATCGTTTGAGTGATGGTGTGGTGCCTTTGAGCCAACTGCACGCCTCAAAACTGTTGCACACTTTTTTTGTTTGTTGCTTTTGCTTTCGTTTTCGTTTTTTTTTTCCTTTTTTTTTTTTGCTGATGATACTTGCTCTGACGCCCACGCGTCTGTGGACCTTGTGTGGTCTCCCGCGTTGCCTTTGTTGTTGCACGCTTACTGCGGCAAACTAACCTAAAGGCTTTTTCATTATAGTTTCTCTTAGATTTCTAGTTTTTCTATTTGGCACAAGGCTAAACGCGACCCGTAATGAAGTTTTCATCATACTTCCCGTTTTCCCTGTCAGTAATTGTTTTTTAACCGCCATAAGTCCTTCACTACCCAATACCGCATCATTATGTACATTTTAACGAAGTCTAGACTTTTGCCATCAGCAAGACGACAACAATCAACAGCAACGAGCAATATAAGATGCCCCAATGAGCTGCGACTTAAATTGATTGTCATTTAAATATCGTTTACTGAGTTTGATGCTGTTGTTGTTGTGTCTTAAACATTTCAAAGGTTTTTTGGTGACTTTCGAGTGATGGGCTGCCAAGAAGGCCATTGTCTGTGGCCCAGGTTGGCACAGGAACTGGACGAATTTGACGCCAGATAAAACTTTGCCATCCCGCCGAAGGCCGCATAATTGCTGTGAATGCCCCGAACTCATTAGTGGTTTAATGATTGTCCCCTTACGAGCAACTAATCCGCTTTGATAGAATTTTTGGGTGTTATATCTTCTAATGGCGGCCATCATTATGCGCTAGTTGATAAAGCAATTCGGGCTGGCCCTCGCTAATAGGGTCCACTGATTTTCATACCAACCCTTATTAGTGTGGGGCCCCACCTGACTAGAACCTACTTTTCACGCTGTACATTATCTAATTTGGTTATTTTGTGTTTGATTTTCTACTCTCCGCTACCTCGCTCATTCCCAATGTGTGCCAATTTAATCGAATTATGGTAAATGTTTCATATAAAAGAGGGCAGCTGTGGGAAAAGTGCTCCACCACATTAAACGGGCAGTCGTCTGCATGGAGAAGCTTGTTTAAATATGCGTTAATGAAAGAAATTATCATACATACTTAACGAAGCAAACTGATTTCTTGCCCCTGCTTCGGCTGTTCATACATATTTGATGTAACTAAATTGCACAGCATTTCCATAAATTTAAGAGTGCAAAGTTAAAGTAAAGAAGACCAGGCTAAAGTGAAGTGAGCTGCTGTTTTTCGAGCTTTTAGCTTTGAACACCGATATTCGATTTTTGAATTTACTTAACTTTTGAATGCCTCATACATTTGATGGCAGAATTTCGTACAGTGGAACCAATCATTGTGATATTGTGCTGATTTTCAATGAAAAATCGTTAAAAATTTTACAAAAACGCCATAATTCTGGCGCCAAGTATAAGTTTGCTTTTTATGTAGAGAGTATTTTTCTATAATGGAAGATTGTGTCTTTCTTCTCATAATTCCAGATTACATATTTCAGAAAGTTAAGTAAAATATGTCTTTCCACTGTTTTTTATATGTGTACATAGAACTTCTTTCATTAACGTTTCTGATGCTTAATCTTTTCTATTTCTTAGACTTTTTTTTTTTTTTTATATTTAGAAATTTTTCTAAAATCAAGAAAATGTTTGCTTCGTATCCGGATAGCTTTCTACACATCAGGAAAATGTTTTTCTGAGTGTCGAAGTATGGAAATAGTATTTGAAAGTAATGCGTTAACCCTGTATTGCAGTGCATTTTAATCAGACTTTCTGTGCTTACCCCATTGTACCTCAGGCTTATTGTGTTTCTCGCTGCTGCAGGCATCGTTTTTGCCTTTTTGTTGGCTTTGTAGCTTTTCGGGCGCAACTGTTGCTCTTGTTTTGTTGTTGGATCTGGTGTGTTGGTAGCATTCAAGTATTCTGCTTTTAATTAATATTAAGATACTTTGTCATGTCATGTGTCTGCTTTGTCAGGACTGCTTCTTGGAGCGACTGTGTACACATGTATACATACTAATCATTGCCATTAGTTAAGGCATCCTTATTTTATATTTGCCGTCAGCCCCCTGGCTAATCTATTCATTTGCACGACAAGGTTTAATTACTGTGATGGTTTTAAATTCGCTACTTCTGACAACCCTGCCAAACTGTTATAAACTGTTGTTTCTGATATAATAATGTTAATTTCCAGCATAAAGTATATGTATTACAAATGAAATAATCGGCTTTCGCCAAAATGTCTGATCAAACTGATATGAGTTTCACTCTGCAAGTATTTTCGATATAGCTAAAAATTGCATAAACATTTACAGTTTAGGGCAGGAGTTTGTTTGCTTTAAATTGAGAGTGTGTTTAATGGCCGTCCAGTTTTGTTAGCTATTAAATAATTTATGGAAAAAAGGACATAACCGTAAGCTGATTTTGTAATTTAACGCTGTATGAGCAACAGCAGCAGCAGCAGCAGCAGAAGCGGCAGCAACAATAACAATAACATTAACAATGGCTGTCGAGGTTGCGAGCCAATATCCTGATGGCGCTCGTTCGCTATTTGTAATTTGTGGCAGGGATGAGCCACGTGGCAGCCGGCGTCATAATTTCACAAAGGATTAAGCACGATTACGCGCTCATTTTTGAATATTTACGGCCAGCAGCCCAGCAGTAGGATATTAACATACGGAAGGCTCATTGGCGGCATTAATTTCTATAAATTTCATCTTCTTGTTGTTGTATATTTATTTATTTATTTACCCATAAATAAAGGATTTCTTATTTTACCTGATTGCTGCATAAATCTTCTGACAGCAGCTCGTTTAATAATTCACCACCTCTGTCAGCGGACACAAATCAATTATGCAAATAAGCAAGGAAACCGAAAATTTTATATGCATAACAAAATTGGTTAAAGAGTGAAAAAACAAAAACAAATCAGAATGCAGAGCAGTCGACTAGAATATACCCTAAGCCCAGCTTCCTTCAACGCTATGGCTTTTATTGTTATTGGAGATTGATTTGCGTCGTATATTCGTGAAATGGGGAATTTATTGGACTATCTAGCTCTGAGATGAAACTATTCGTACAGACGGAGCCACATGGCTATATCGACTCGATTGTTATACTTAATGGGGTCGGACATTTTTCCATATGTCAGTTGCATGCCTTTGCACAACTTCAATATACCCTTTTTACCCATTGTTAATGGGTTCAGGTTACACAAATATCTGAAACCGCTTTACATGGATGCCATAGCTTTTGACCTTTATTATATTTAAATCTGTATATTTTTGTCGCCTGCAGGTTTCGCGTTGGGCGTGCGCATGATTAAGGTCTCCATACCCGCCTTCAAAATGCGTGGTGAATCCGCCTTCATGGAATGCCAATATGAGTTGAATCGGACGCACGGACCACAGATATCCAGCAATGGGCATCGAGAGCGCGATCGCTATCCACATGGCGGTAGCGATGTCCACTACGTGGATGCGGATAATGAAAGACAGTCATATCGACGCATGCATCAGGGACAGCGACCATATCAACAGCACCAGCAGCGCCGGCAACAGCATCAGCCGTTGGCTCTGAGGCAGTATCAGAGCCAGTCGGAGGGGCATAACCCACCACTGCCGCCGCCACAGTCACCCTATGGCCACAGCGTATATCGGGGCAGTGCAGCGTCCGGATATCTGGGCGGCCGGCTGAGCGCCAGCGTGAATAATGGTGGAGGAGGCGGGAGTATGGGCAATGGTGGCAGCTCCAGCGGTTCCATTTCGTACATGCCTGACTTTGGCCGCGACGATAAATTCAATGAAAGTGAGGAGGGCGAGGATGAAGATGAGGAGGCGCAGGAGGAGGGCGAGGCGCTGTACGCCATCAAATGGTACAAAGACAACGAGGAGTTCTATCGCTATGTGCCAAAGGCTCGTCCGCCCAAAACCAGCTACCGTGTGGATGGTGTGCGCGTCATTGTAAGTATACGCCCAGCCACTGTTCGCTAAGCCAGGGACCAACCCTTTTATCTCTTCTCGACAGGAGGAGCTGTCCGATGCTAGTCGCGTTTTGCTGCGGGGCCTGACCCTAAACTCCACAGGCCTCTATCGTTGTGAAATCTCCGCTGAGGCGCCAAATTTCTCATCCGTTCAGGGCGAGGGTCGCCTGGATATTGTTTGTAAGTAAAAAAGATAATTTTTTATTTAACAAAAATACAAATATCAAGCAAAGCGTTGCAACGTTAAAATACTGCCAATATTTACTCGACAATTTATATGGCAATTACAAACAAATATTGCATTTGTAAGCTAACAATTACGTTTATTTACCTTTGAGCAGTGTGCATACGTAAAATGCAATCCGTATTTAGTCTGTTTTCAAATTTAAGATTAAATCACACTCTATATTTATTGGCAAATATTATATTTGTATTTGCCTTTGCAATTCAAATTAGTCTGGCAAAATTGGCAATTTAGCTGTTTATTTTATATTCGAAATGCTTTTAAAAGCCATTTATTAACTTTAGTTGTGTGACAGCACTTTTCTGTTACTTCAAATAAGTGCATTTTTATCGTTTCATATTTTTGTTTAACCTGAACGCTTTAAAAGCTGGTAAAGGGAATATAGTGAAGGTATGTAACAGGCAGAAGGAAGCATCTTCGAGTTAGAGACTTCAATTTTGGAATATGTGGTCAACTTTATTTCTTTTAATTTTCGTTAATTTTTTTTAATTGCCCTGAAGTGCGAATATAGATACATATTTCCGATTCCAATCAAAACAAGAGTCTTAAGGGCAGCTTATTTAAGCTGATTTTTATAACTAATTGCTTTGTTCAACTAGAAACACCCAAGTTATAGAAGAAAAAGTATTCTTATATTGATCTCATTACTCGTCAGCAGGTGCAAGCATTTTCTCTAGATGATTTCAGTGATTTGAGGCTTTTAAATGATATTTGGCAATATGACTATAGCCTGTTTTTAGTCGACTTAATAACAACATTTAACATCAGGCTTTTGGGTATCTCGTAGTTGAGCTGACGCGACTGTAACAGCAGTATTACTTGTTTGTGCATGCACGTGCATGCATGTTTTTGTTTAAGCCATATGCATGTACATCTGCAGTTGCAAAGGGAATAAGTAAGGCTGATACAGGGGGTAACACGGTAACACGGTCCCATTGGCTATGGTGATAGCAATGCCAATATATTTGGCATGGCAACGGTCAGCAGTTATGGCCATGGGTCTCATTCGGCGATTTATAAGTTGAAATGTTATTTTAATGGATATTTCCTCAGTGTGTTCCGCACACCACCCATTTTGGTGTAGTGTTAGTATTTTTTCATTGCCATCAATCCCTTCCACTTGTTCCGCATTTATTCCTTTTGCATACAATATGCGAGTTTTTGTTTAAGCTGTTGGTTTTTATATTGCACTTTTGTAAAAAGCAGGAAAATGTTTACGCGAACACTGAATGGAAGTGATTGCAGTGATTTTATTTATTTGTTGTACCATGCTTTTTTGTCAACAATATTTTGTTTCTTTGACTACATCAATAAATGTGGCAATGAATACTTGATATTTGTTGTAAAAATATAATATTATTTGTGAACTGAACCCAGTTATTCGGGATCTAAGTTTAATCTTCAAAAAAATACATAAATTTCTCATTATTTACAGTTCTACCACGAGACGGCCCTCATATTAGAGGACAGCAGTATCAGTATCAAATCGGTGAATATTTAAATTTAAATTGCACATCGGGGAAATCACATCCTGCCTCTCATCTGCAGTGGTTCGTGAATGAGCAGCCGGTAAGTTCTTTTTAGCGCAATCCAACATTCTCGAACAATATTTGTATACCCTGAACGCATTAAAAATGGGTAAAAAGGGGTATAATGGCTTTGTGGAAAAGTATGCAAAAGGCAGACGGAAGCAGCTCCGACCCCAAAGAGTTTTTGATTCGATATAACCAAGTCCGTCTGTATGAACAAACGGATCTCGGAGACTATATCGATAAGTCTTTTATTTTCGCGAATATCGATATATATCGATTCACTTTAGCATTAACTGCAGTTATTTATATTGCTAAACTGTTGAAATTTGGTTAAGGTTGGATAAGAAACAACCAAGTTATAGTTCAGAATGTATTTTCTACTACATGCTCAAACCTTTTCTGTATACTTTTCTGTTGTAAAGGATCAAGGATCAGAGTATCTCGTAGTCGAGCTCACTCGACTACCGCGTTCTTAGTTGCTCTGTTAGCATTCTCTTTTTGTATTCACAAGCGCTTACATTAATCAGGCTGGTCCAGCTTGCAAGGGCTGGCCCAGCACATTTTATGTATACAGTAAACATTTAAGCCCCCCAACAATGGCAAACAATGGACCACGGCGCAACCGTGGCACAAAAACAGTGACCAAATCTCTGGCACAGCTGGCGATGCAGGTGTCAGAAATTATTTCATGAGCAAAAATCATGTAGGCGTCCAGGCTTTTGGATTTGCTTATGTCCATGTCCTCGCCACCCCTGCCACTATTATCTGCCTTTGTCAGAGCCTTGGCTTGGTTTATGGCATGTTGTTAGTTGTCTGTAGGTGGAGTTGGGCTCGTTACACGTTTAAGTTAACCGGAACTCGAAACGGCTGCCGATTCGAGTGCGGGACATGAGGAACGAAGGGAGGACTGGGCCCTCACTGCATTTCATAGACGGCGGCGGCTACATGCCACTCAAATTGTGTGAATCCAGGCGTTAAGGTACGAGTTAGTTCATTGTACATGGTGCTGGCGCTGTCGAACATCGGAGAGGCGTTTGCCGTTGTCCTTCAACCACTTTTTGTGGAAATAAAAGAAAAATCAATAATTGCGATTAGGCACGCTTCCCGGCTTATTTGCATTTCAACAATAGCTAAAAGAACGTTTATTGAATTCCATTTCCGAAGTATTTCATGTCTATAGAACATTGCTTTGTTTTTCCATGTAGAAGTATGTTTCTTTCTTTAAGGTCTTGTAACCAGAAATAAATGCCAATAAGGTAGACAAATATTTGGCAATTTTCGAAATTTTATAATTCTTACATTGCCCCATTCTGGCCACAAAATGTGTTAGAAATACATTTAGCACTCGTTGTAGAACCCATTCAGGTCTCTGCCTTTGCCTAAGAATGCGACGGGAATTTCAAATGCCCTTATTTTATAGGAGCTGCCTTGTTGCTTTTGCTTGTTGTACGTTTTGTTTCAGGGCATCGGACAGACAGCAGTTGGCATTTGCAGCATGTTCGTTATGTCACCCTGACACAAGCACAATTGCGACAAGGCAGCCCACCAGCATGTTTAATTTATGCCTTTAAAGTTTAAAACTGCTTTAAACTTTGGTATGCGAGAGCTCGGTAACTTTTATGGACGCCATAAAGAATGGCGAACCAATCGCATAACAAATGGCAACAATTTCGCTCACAAACGGGCAAAGAGCTGGGCCCCCTCCCGCATTCAATTCAACAAACTCAATCCAAATCCAATGTACCAGCAAAAAGTTCAAGCTATTTATTTAAGCATTTCACATTTTGTATCTGCACACCGCATTTCTCTTATTTATGGCGCCGTGCTCTGCGAAAATGGCTTCATTTTTTTGCAAGTGCGTCATGACCCCCAATGAGAATCTCACCCCCAAGTTGCTGACAGCAGCCACGCTTAAAGCCAGTTATTTTAAAGCGCCTGTCTGAACTGATAATTGTTACCTTTGGTTAACACACCTATACATAGCCATATACGATACACAGCTGTCCGTGGGTCCAGGTTCCCAATAAACAAAAGCAACATTTGCTTTCTGTTGAGCATTTGAGCGCTTACACGACACGTCTGACATGCCCCAGAGCATCATTGTTGCTGTAACTTATGCGCCGTAAGGACGAGGTACACTCGGAAAAAAATCATCGCGAATTTTAGAAAATTATCATACTTTTGGCTGCAAAGGTAACTAAGCTTATTCTTCAAAAGTTTGGCTAAAATATGTTAAAATTAAATGGCATTACGCATAACAGTAACATTAGTTTTTTTCGGTTTGCATTTTCACTTTTTAGAAATATTTTCTTTTGTATTTCTTAAATTATTTCTAAAAACAAGAAAAGCTTTATATTTTTCAGGGCAAGTACCATTTTAGGGCGATTTTCAAAAATTCAGGCTGATTTTTTTTTAGTGTAATGTGTAAACAACTGATGAGTACAGAATAGAGTAAGAGCGAGCGAAGGATATAAATAGTAGTTTAGAAAAAACAATAAACAATATGCGGTCATCCCTTGCAGATACTGGATGAGCACTACCTGCACAAATACACCGATATCGTGCATAAGCATGGACTAATCACCTCAATACTGGGCCTGCAGCTGGAACTGGAGCCGCGACACTTCCAGGATGGCGACATGCGCGTCAAGTGCCTAGCTAGCATATCGCCGGTGCTGTGGAAGGGTGGCAAGGAGAGCATTCTGCAGCGCCGACCTGGCATTATTGACAATCGCGAGACCATGCTGCTGGGTGAGTGAACACTGCGACCAGTTCTTTTAATTGATTTTTATTACACCTCATCTTCCCTTCCGTTCCCATCACATCGTAGTACGCAGTGCGGCTGGCCAATCTGGGAGCAATATACTGCGCCTACTGACCATCACCATCATCCTGGCGCGCATTGGTCAGTGGCTGCTCAGTCCCGAGCTTACTTAGAGTGATTTGGAAGTGGTGTCCAAGGCAGACACATGATTTTCAATTCAATTCAATTGCAATTGCAGAGCATAAATGGTGATTTTGTATACTTAAAGTGTAATATCTTTAGTTTCTAAGCGATAACCGATAACAGGAAATTTCCCCGGCAACCACTCAAATCAATAAGCGAATATGTCGAAAAACCTTTTGACCGAAAAATATCAATGTCATAAGGAGAGAGAGCCGGAGAGTCACTCATCAATTAAAAGGAGACGACAAATGTGGTAAATCTAGTGCAAATACGTGGCTCGTGGCTCACATACGTAAAGCATAAAGTAAATCATATCGAAAATGAACAGTGAAATTTTAAACAAGACGAGAAACCGAAATCGAGAATTTATCTGTTTGCTTCACGTGAAATCCAATTAAAAACAATTCGACAAAAAAAGCATTCCAATTAGGCACACAGTTAAGAGATAGTCGAGAGTAGCAGTTTCTGTGTAAATAATTGAAGGAAAGTAAAGCAAAATTCAAGCCTCACACATACGTGTACCGATAATTGTAAGCCTCAGATATTTCATTTGCGTCAATTTCAATGCACAGAATTTACTTTTGTATAAATAAATTTGTTAAGTGAGTAGTCTTTCATTCAAAGTCAATAGAATTTTGTAAACTGTTTAAATGGCTGGTGCTCTAAGCATTTATTAAAATTCTCGAATTTTATACACTACTATTTCAAGAGCTCGTCTTCTATTTGGAATACAAAATTATAAAACGTTGAAATGTAAAAGAATTAACTCAATTCGAAATTTCGTTTCTCCCTTGTGCAGTAGTAGTATTTGTGGGGCTTAAGAAATATAATATTACGAAGAAATAAAAAATATGTTATGACTAACTTAGATTTTAAGCAGTTTTATTTGTAGTTGAGTGGGTACAAATAATCCATGCAGTATAAAAAATTAAAATAAGAAATCAATTGACTTGTTTGTAGTAAAAACAAATTTAAACTATCATATTGCCAAACGGGGCAGCTATTATAACTACATGTAATGTGGCATAAAGCAAACTGACTCTTTCTTTCTTGAGTGTTTGATAAATAAATGTGCAAAACGAACTTTGAGTTGTGTTTCTTTTTATGTGCTTCATTTCTCCTACTAGCAATTTTACACATCTCTGGTTTTAGCTACATCTGACACGCAGCCTGGATAAATAACAAAAATTAGCACCTGTAAAACCACAGTAAACATTTTTCATACACGGCTCTTGGCTATGCACCAGTTTCTTTTGCAACAGCATAAAAGATACAAAAATTATACATAGAGCCCAAAAGGAGCAATGCTTAAACACCACGTACAAAACCGCAATCCGCGGCAGTTACACACTCTCTCCGACACACGCCCCACCCGGCAGTGGCACGGACAAAACGGCGACCGCAACGTTGCAAATGGAAAAATTGCGTGCATCCTTTTAGGCGCACATAAAACAACAACAAACTGAACTCCCGTTTATTTGCCGCACAGAAGGGTTCCTATTGCGGGCTGCCCAATTTGATGGCGTAGTAAACTTTATGGCATGCACATAAATAGAAATGCACGCAAAAGTTTGGAAGAACTGCGACAAAAATACCAAAGAATATGAACAAGGGGAACAACACGCGAACGCGTCAAAATACGCCCACTGGCCAAGTTCGTGCGTAGGCCAAGTTAGTTGCCAACGGCCAACTCTTCCGGCCGGCGGTGTACTCTAATCCGTTCATGCACCTTAGCAACTTGCTGAAGATTTATGTGTGCCTTGCATTGCACTAGGGGCACCATTTAAATGCTTCCACGCAGCTACCAGCCCTGGCCGGAAGTGTGCAAAAATTTATTACCAATGATTGCATAGCTGATAAATTTATTTTACCCACAACTGGAGGCGACTGGCCGACTACAAGATTGCCTAATGTTGGGTGTTGGTAATTATGACGCCGTCACTCGCCACACGTTGTGCGTGTGTGTGTGTGTGTGTGAGTAAGTGTGTGTGAGTGCGTCATGCGGAAGGTGACTAAACTGAACCAGTGCCGTAAGCAAATGTCTTTCATGTGAGCTGTATTAAATTAGTTTTTAACAGCTATGATTAATGAGCTAACTGCAAATTCTGACGTCTTAGCGCAAATGCAAAGTTTTTTGATAAGTTTTCATTGGATAAGACTCTTTGGGAATTTAATTAAATTGTACTGCAACACAGCAACAAAAACTTGCTGCTACTTTTCACATTTAGTTTCAATCTCCACACCTGATTAGACGAATGCTGTGAATCTCTCCCTGAAGATAGGTCCCGACGGGATTCAAAATATATTGGAGCATAAAAAAAGCATTTTACTTGGTGCCAGCAAATTAATTATGAAATGAAAATGTTTTATAATTTTAATTAATAATTGTGATGAACTTTGGGTTGAGATACTATCTTCGCTTTTATCGATAGTCATATATAGTGCTAAATATTGTTACTACATTCATAAGCATAAATTGTGCAAATGTATTTATACTGCAATTCGAGACCCGCTCGCCAGCTCCACAGTCGTTTTACCAATTAATGGCAAATCAATAAGTAATTTTATTGTGCAACGAAATGAAGAAAAATGGAGCACAGCAAAATAATATAATAATAAATAATGCAATGAAGCTGTGCGCATATGGAGAAGGAAATCTTGAATTATAGACAGGTTGATTTTCCTCAACATTTTATATTTACTCAATTTTTTCAATATAAATTCGATACCGCCGAGCACGTATTGTTAAGTGAGGATTGCAAGGGCAGTGGTTATGGGCATGGTATGAATTGTATAAATCAATCTCTCTGTGGAAATACATGAATGTGATTGCATATTCTCTCTATAGAAAGATTGCCGGAATTTAAAGCAAGCCATAGGCATACATAACTAATTGGTCAAACACGTCGACAGTTGAAATTTCCACCCAAAACGATAAGTTGAAAATTAAAAACCTCTACTATTTTTCAACGAAATTGTGCGGACGCTATTTCTGTGGCTGCATAGTGATGTTGGCCGCTAGGCTCGAAAAGCGTTTAGATAAACATTTAGCATGGCTATCTGGTGTACCCTGACTGTGAATGCAAACAGGAACCCGATCGACCCATTGCTAACCTCTTCTGTCATTGACATAATGGCATTGTTAGAGTACTCACTCCTGTTGCCTGAATTTTGGGCGAAATTCGAATGCGAAAGTGGCTCATAACGCCATGAATACCAGAGTAGCAATAAAAGCCAAGAGCTAACCAATTTAGTAGCCAAAATGCGGAACGCGTTTCACGGATATTTGGTGGTGCAACGTTGCTGGATGAGCACCGTAATTCACTCAGTTGAACGACTTTTTAAATCAATTTCGGCACGACTGAAGTTGCGCAATTAACCAAATCATTATTGCCTCTGGCGCCATTGCAACAACTATCATCTATTTGCAAGAGTTATGTGGCAATTATTATACCAAGAATACCACACTGCATGCAAGAAAGGAGTCCACATTTGCATACATACATACTGCATTAATTATGATACACAGAATAATAATTGTGTTGTTCATTTAAAATTCAATGGCATTGAATGCCATTAAATTCTGTGATATGCTCAGTTGACTTTAAGTCGTACGAAACCAAAGTCGACAACTAGAGATACTCCTCTGCTTTGGGAATGCCAGCATGAACTAAGATTTAATGATTCTTTCACTTAGGCAACTCAAAGTATCAAGGATGCCGGTTTATTTGTAGGGATCGGAAATTGGATTTGCACAAATGACTATTTAAGAAATAAACATATCGAACAAAACAAAGAATATGGAAAAGTTTTAGACACTGTGTCCATTAACCTTTTAAAACTTCGATATACTCTTGGCCATTGTTCGAAATGTGCCACACAACTGATAAGATTGTTGTAAAAACTTTAGCATTTCTTTGCAGCTTCGTGTCATTGTTTTGGCCCCCAACACAGTTCATTAGCATGCCACCCACTCCACCAGCAGGCAACAACAGAAAATCCAAAGCAGACATCCTCTTAAGCAATGCCATCGACAATAAGGCCGTCTTCCTCTTATCGGCTAGCCTTTATCTGGAATACATAAATTGTTGCCTAGACTCGCGTCTTCAAACTTTTTGCGGCTTGATCTGGGTGGGTGGGCGCTAATTAAGACATGCAAAATGCGGCAAGAAAGACAAATGTTTCTCTGGCACGTAAGCGCGTCAATCTATAGCTGGAGAATTTTGGGCGTGGCTATATCCCAGACAGGCAAACATTTTTCATTTGAGACTAAAACATGTTTTGTGTGAAAAAGCAGCAATTCGCCGCCTCATAAAAAATGCCAATAAAGTGATTTGTAAGAAATTCGGGAATAGGAAAATATGCTAATGCGGTGCACTTAGTCAGGGTGCCACTCAACTGAGGCAGGCGCGTAATCAACCAGGCTGGTCAGCTTATTAGCCAGCCTGTTATTTTGGCTCGTCAACTGGCCAACTCACTTCGGTATTCAAAATTTTAATAATGTCTTTATATATACAGCCCCAATACTTTGTCGGTTCATTTTTCTTTGCCTTTTTCTTTCTTGCGTGCTCTGAGTCGCACATTAAGTTTTAATGCCATATTTTATGCTAGCAAAATGTACATAAATTTATTTACTGGTCAGTCGGTTGTGGTCTAATCAAATCAAAAGGCGGACAGCTCACACTACACTTACACACACAAACACACACATACATCACAGGAGCAGCAATCCATGAATAACAAGGCAGACATGCAAAGTTTTTCGGCCAACTCAAGAGTTCAAAGCAAGCACAACTCACTCTCACACATACACACAGAAACACACAAGCACACACACACAAACACACAAGCATACACACACAAATACACACAAACACACAAGCATACACACACAAATACACACACAAATACACACACAAACACACTTACACTCACACAGTTTGTGTCAAGCATAAAAATAAGAGAAGTTGCTCATACGACGCGTTGCCGATGGTTCTTTCCCCTACAGACGCTAGCAGTGTGGCAAAGTTTCTGCTAAACACAAACAGAGAGTAAGGCAAGAATCACACAACAACACACACACACACACACACACACACACACATACACATACATTGTCGCAGTAGCAACAACAACAACAACAACAAGAATAACAGCTAAAACAAACTGAATAGTTTTTGTTACTCTTAGTGCAGCTCCCATAGGAAGTCGTTTCTAGGAAGGCGCATGTATAATTAGAGCTATGAAGCATGTCCGGTGAAGTTTGCCATTGAAATATAATAACAATGCAACAACTGCACCACCCTAACATACACATACCCATTCACATTCCAGTTGCATGCAACGTTCAACTTTGAATTGGGCAAAAAAGTTTCGCTTCCCTGCGATATTATTGCAATAGCCTTTGCTCTTGCTCTTGTTATTATTATTGTTGGTATTGGTGTTGTTGTTGTTGTTGTTCTTGTTGCTGTTGTTGTTGCTGTTGTTACTGTTACTGTTGCCGTCGACTAAATATATTTCATAGTGCAGCACAAGCCTGCATCACAAAAATTGTACATATGAATTTATGTGGCGGCTGAGTGTTCGCTTAGTTCAGGTACCAGACCAAATTTACATGCTAGGGTTACCCCGCCTGAGTTGGATTCCATCCGCAGTCCACTAACTTTTTATGCAAGCTTATCCCTTGATTTATACGATAGCAAACAGGAACGTGTATGAACGTTGTTTTTTTTTACACATTTATACGTACAAAACGAGGCAAAACAAATGAGAAATCGACAAAGAAGGCAAAAAAAATAAAGGTTCCCCTTAAAAGGTTTGCTACTTTGTGGGATAGCCATTTTTAATAATGTACATTTTTATTACAATAGTTTATAAAAGTAGCATTTATACTTGAAAATACATTTCGTAAAAGTAGAACAGTTTGGTTTCTTGTTTTTTTTTTTTGTTAGAGTTGCCCGCCTAAGGGTCGTCCCATTCATTATCCGATTTTAGAATTAGAACAACACCTTAAATTCTGTAAGCGATTCGGGCGAACCGGTTCAGACCGCATGAATTGTATTTCTGCTGCGCCCATCAAATAGTTAGTTTTGCTCCTCTCTCACTCCTGCTCACCCTTTCTCTGTCATTCGCTCTCTCTCTCTCTCTCTTTCTCTCTCTCTCTCTATCTACATTTGTGTCTTCAGACGTAAGGAAATGCAACGAAACACGCAAACTGTTTGCCCCAGCAAAGTCACAAATGTTTTTTGACTTTTTTTTCTTCTTTTTGGCACCCGTTGGATTCCAGTAGCGCCACTAGGCCAGCTGCCCTGGTGGCGCCTCCTTTGGGTGTGCCCCCGCAAGTGGCGTCAATGTTGTGCACATTACGGTTAACGCCGTTCAAGCGCGTCACAACAACGAGTAACAGAACTTTAAAGCGCAAGTTTATTGCTGAATGTAATGGCTGCCACCTGCCACCTGCCACCTGCCAGCTGCACGAACCGAGTATCGTAATATATACGACTGGTCGCCGTTGCACTTGCAATTGCCGCGTAATAATATTAAATGTCAGGTGCAATGCAGTGACACTGGCAGTTGCAATCGAAGTCGTAGCCGATAGCTAATTAAGTTGCCTCCGCAAGTTGCCCGTAAATTGCCATAAAGTATGCGCGGGGCAGTTGCCTCGATTTCTTATTCACAGATCCATCGCATTCGGTGTGGCAACACTTGGCTTTATACCAAAGAGACGTTTATTGCAATGCACTTGCACTGTGCAACCCACGTGTGCTTTATGGCATTGCCCGAGAACAGAATCGATGTGAGTCATGAACATTACATTTAGTCTGCTCCTTAAAATTACGGACAACGCGCCAACTCAGTAGCTACACTCACAAAAAAATCGCCATACATTCTTGGCATTCTTCAAAAATTGCAATTGATAAAAAACATTTCATAACAATTTTCTGTATTTCAGAATGGATTTTTACTCAAAACTGCGACTTGCATTTCAACATTAAGAAATATATTATTGGAAAATAGAAAAATGGCATTATAATTTTAAGAATAATTTTGTTTTCTTTTTTTTGTATATTTTAAATCTATTTCGAGAAACAAGAATCGTTTTCTAATTTTCTAAATTTCTTGGCGATTTTCTGTAAGTGTAGTGCAGCTGACTGATGCATACGTACCCAGAGGCAAAACGGAAGCCCAACCGACTGAATTAATGTCTTACTTAGGTTACCAATGTTCATTCGTATGAATAGGTACAAACATATGTACTTATGTACGTACATATGTATGTACAGATATTTGTATATATGTAAATATATAATATATTCTAAGATGGGCATTTGCACATTTGCCAAAGTGTGCTTGTATTTCCGACAACAACAATGCTAGTCAGTTTAGTAACTCCAGTGGTTATTGCAGGTATTCAATTGTTATATATGATTTTGATATGCAATGTGTAAAATTAACTATTGCAATTATTCGTTGAAAAACGCTGTCAATTTACGAGTCATTCAAGATATATTGCATGCTAAGAGATACTGAGATATATAAAAATATCATCCAATATTTGTACTAGTTAAATGATGTGTCATTTTTAAATCAACTTAATTTAATAAAACTCTGAGAATTTGCATTTGTTTAGCATAAGCTCACAACTAATTTGTTTGTTTTATGATATTGGCAGCAATCACGTTATGTTTATTTGAGTCAAACACACCCACACACCCAACACACACTCGCACACTCGCACACTGAGCTCTCAGTCATTCTAAGCCATACATTACTCATTTTGCTTTGTGTAATTTTCAAAATGAGTATGCATAACTTACAGGTATCCGCTCATTTGTTGCTCCTTGTAGTCCGCTCCATTTGGGGCTGGTGTCGGGCACTGTCTACCTCTCTGACTCATTCATTCATTCAATTTAATTCAATGTCTTTGGCGTTGACTAAATATGAAATTGGCTTGGCTTTATTATATGCATATTATTAACAAAAATAGAGGCGAACGAAAACATCATTAAGCACAAAATTCGTTTAATGCATATAAAACTGATAAAGCCCGCTTTTGATTTTCGCTTATTGAATCATAATTTGACGCGAAACTTTATGCAAATTTCAATTTATTTGCCACCAGCAACTCTTGTCTTATTCGTCCTTGGCTGATATCCAGGCCTATTTAGCAATATAGTTTACGACTTTATTTCATGACTATTTGTCATTACAAGTGTAACACGCCAGTGTTGGTATAATGACGAAATTGCGTTTTTAGTTCGGCTCGCCATGAAAACGGGCTTTTTTCGGTATGGGCCATACATCATATATTTTCTCCCATATAAAGCACATTAAGTCTGTAAGGTCGTGGCACGTGCCATCAAACAGCATTGTCAATAAAACTGAAGCTCCTCTTAAATAAATGACACAATAATGAACATGCTAACGACCATTAAAATGGGAAATTTGCATTAAAAATGTCCAGCTTGGTTAATAGAAACGTTATTTAATTGGAAATGTCAGGCGTGTAAATTTATAATTGAATTACTTGAATTTTACTACAACGATTGTGATCGTTAATAAATAATTAATTAAAAAACATTCATTTTGTTGATTGAATTTTCCTCTAAAATATATGAAAAATACAAAAAAAAACTTTGTCAGAAGTGGGATTCGAACCCACGCCCTCAGAGAGGACCAGAACGCTCATCGACCTTTCTACGAAAGGCAAGACTTTTATCATCTTGAGTCTGGCGCCTTAGACCGCTCGGCCATCCTGACATGAGTATCGACTGTTGCTAAATAAGAACAAGCCAAACTGAACATGAAGTTGGAGTTTTTTTTTTACGGCGATAACCGTCACGTACTCTCTCTCTCTCTTTCTCTCTCTCTCTGTCACATGCAACACAAATAAGTGCACAGGCAAACATACGTTTTCTCGCCACAACGTCAGCGTCGCATGTTTAATAGCTATTTATAGACTCGCCATGTTCTCATTCTGTTAATCGTGCTTCGAAAGTTTCGTGTGTGCTTTTGCGATTAGTTCAACTTTAATGTTGCATACTTTTTGGCACTTTAATTTTTTTTATGTTAAACATTATAAGATATAATTTTAGGCTGCATGCTCAATTTGGTAACATTAACAATATGTTTTTTAAAGTATGTCAAATAACATTTAGTGGAAGTCTTTGCGCTGATTGCAACTTTTCATCGATTGAATCGCACGGATGGACAGGACATGGACATCGACATTCAGTCTATTCAATTTCAATTTATCGAATGCTGTAGTAACATGTCTAATCTAATCTAATCTCGGTAAAATTTCAAAATATAACATTTCAATGCCGTGCCGCACAAAAGGCACTCACAAAAATGCTTGCCTCTTTGATGAAACAGTATTCAGCCAAGGAACTCAAATCTATTATATGTTGCTCGATTTGCCTCATCCTCAAAATTACATTGATAAGTACGCTTATAAATCACAAACCGGGCTCGCCGGTGAGAAGGATGCTGGCTACGGTCGAGTCGGCTCTGGAATGGGCCGCATGCCTTTACATCGACATCGATGAGCATTGCAAAATTGACAATGATTTTTTAAAAATAATTTTATTGCTTCATTCATTGGGGCATTCATGCAGACCGGCGGAATAGCAACGGCCAGCCAGAAGTCCATCAGGACTCTCTACCGGCGGCTTCTTCTTTCATGATTGGATGCATTCATGCGTGAATGTAAACGCTGCCGCGACCCACCCAAGAAGAACTAATTCGAATTTTGTCAGCTTGTCCCTTTGGTTTTTTTAATTAAATGGTCAAAAAACAAAATCTAATTATTTTCTTTCCGGCTTTATTATCAAGTCACTCTTATCAGTAAATATAATTCTGGATTGAGTCTGGGCTCAGGGCCAGCGGGCATCGTACTGCTTGATGACGTAGGAGATCTTTTTTATGGCCATCTCCACTTGATCATCATTCACCTGGTGGTAGAGCACCAGACGCATAAATTCCCAATTACGGGAACTGGCCTTCAGGACAATACCCGCTCCATTCGGGCCGGTTATGCCAGCCGTTAGCTCCTCTGGCTCAATGACAGCGAGACGATTGGCCAACTGGCTGGCAGTCAGTTTGGGCTGCTTAATCTGTATCAACAGAATGTTGGTTGCCACAGTTGGCAGATCGACGGTCACATTGGGACTGTGCAGCTTATCGATGGCTTTGCAATTTAAACAGAATGAGATTCATAAAATTGTATAGGTTTTTGAAAAGTGGCTTACCTTCTGCAATGCGCAGGGTGCGCTCATGGTCTTTTTTAATCAGGGGTACCACCTGCTGCAGGGCGACCAGACCACCCGCTGCCAAGATTCCAGCCTGCCGCATGCCACCGCCTAAGGCTTTGCGTAGTCGGTGCGCTCTACAATGTAAATAGCAGGTGGTTGGGTAAAGTTACAAATTGATTGCATCACTTATTACGTACTCTTTAATGAAATCCTTAGATCCAACCAGTACGGAGCCAACGGGCGCCGATAAGCCCTTGCTCAGGCAGACGGACACTGAGTCAAAGCCACGTGTGATACGCTCAACACTGACGTCCAAAGCAGCCGCTGCATTAAACACCCGGGCTCCATCCATGTGCAGGCCAATCCGGGCGGTGCCCACGCCCGACTCGCGCACCAGCGCCACGACCTCGTCTAGGAAGGCGAGTGGCATCACCTTGCCACCACAGATGTTTTGGGTGTTCTCCACCACAATGAGAGAGGTGACTGGCTCATGACAGTCCTCATATTGCCGTATCTTCTGCCGTAGCTCTGCCAGGCTAAAGGTGCCGTCCGGTTGGTTCCTAATTGTGGCTAATTGCACACCAGCTATGAACGAGGCACCACCTAAACGACATAATGATGCAGTTGTACAGTGTTTGATAATTAATACGCAGCCTCATCTTACCTTGTTCGTAGAGAAAGGTGTGCGACAAATCTCCCACAATTGCCTCCGAGCCACGTCGATTACAATGAACCATTACTGTAAGCAGACAGTTCAAGCAGCTGTGTAAGTTATGGCAACAACTAAAGAATTTATAGTTCATCCGCTTTTAATAAAATGGATATTCCATTAGAAATATTAATTTGAGTGGGGCATAAGCGGCAAGGAAGTTAACTTCACAATGGAGCCACTGGCACACGTCTAACGTTTGAGTATATAAAAATTAATGTTATGTTTATGGGCGTGCCCTTAACCTTTACGATTATGAGCTTGATGCATGATATGAGCGCTTTTTGCTGTTAGGTATATGTATATGCCATCTAAATAAAAAACACTGATATATATGTTAGGCTAATATTCATCAGTGAAAGAGGGCGTTTTATTTTGGTTAGGCGTCCCAGCGTCTAATTCAACCGCACTTTAAACTGGGATACATTAAGGTAGTGCCAGTCATTTTATTAAAGATGCAGGCCTTAAAATTGCTGAGCGTAATGTTATTTATGTGCCAGTCGTGCCACTCACTTGCCAGTAGATTTCCCATGGTGCCGCTGGGCACAAATAGGCCAGCCTCCTTGCCAAATATGGCCGCCGTTTTGGACTCTAGCTCAGCGATAGTGGGATCCTCGCCAAACACATCGTCGCCCACGACAGCGGTTGCCATACGTTGCCGCATCTCCGGCGTCGGCTGGGTAACGGTATCCGAGCGCAGGTCAACAATGTTGTTCGACATCTTACAGAACTGTTAAGGATTGCGCAAATTGAATATGTGACTATATATATATATATATATATATAGCATATGCATTGATTATACAAAATAGTTCCAACGAAGCAAAACAAGCGAACTGTGTTGTCTACATTAATTACATAAGCTCTGTCTACAAACTTATGTTGTTGTGTTGTCAGTGGAACACATATATGGCAGACCTGTTCTTTATAAGGAATACCGGAATTGATAAGTCTACGCCGCATGTTGAGCATTGCCTTTGGTTGACCGCAGTGCCTCAGTGCCTCTTGCAAATAAGTACTCAACTTACAACTTTATTCATAACAACTACCAAACAATAGCGAAAATCGAGACCGCTTATTTATGCATATATATATATATATATATACTTTTATATACATTTTCAAATGCTTAATTACTACTCAATTATCTTTCCAGACCACCACGTGTTTGTTTTAATAAATAACATTGATCCACCTTCCGTTGATAATAGCAATGAAACTATTTGCACAAAAATTTAAAAGTGCTTGAATTAAATCAAATGCTCATAAAATGCTAAATAAACAACAATCTACTCACAATAGGCACAAATTGATCCGGAGCAAGAACAAAAACACCGAACTTGCTTTGCTCAGCACGAGGAATAAACTGAAACGCAGCAGCTGGCAACAGCTCAAGTTATGCTCTCTGTGTACAGTAATCTCTCCAATCCCAATAAAATAATAAAATAAAAAACGACCGAAAATGAACGGCGATTAGAGCGATCAAAGCGATCCATAACAGCGTAGCAGCGACCCGAAGGCAACGAGTCCAAAATGTTGTCTATCTCACTGGATTTTGAATTTTTTTGTTTTTGTAACCTTTAGAAAATTGGACTGTTGATCAATTTTCTGACCACAACCCGCAAAATCTAAAGCAGGGTATCATTGTCTCGGCATACACAATTCTTTGTTTCCCGACGACCGCACAGCAAAAAATTCCAAGAGAATAACAAACGGTTGCGAGACCGGCGCACAGTCTGCATGCAGAGTAAACTGAGCACAACAGTTGTCAACGACTCAATAAATGTTCTTTGGGTCGCCAGCAGAGCAAAAGTCCAAAGAGCTTTAAGCACTTTTGAGAGTGATCGGCACTCTGAGTGATCGCACAGTGAAGCTTCTCGATGTTAATCGGGTCGAAACTGAAATCACAGTTATATGTTACATTCAAGGCTTCGGTTCTAAGATTTATTTATAAAATTTTTAGGACAGAGTAACGTAAATCTTAAATGAAAAAGTATTTTGTATTTCTATTAGTATGTCAAAAAACGATTTTAATGTGAATATGTTTGTCTCGATTTTCGGAAACCGTTCATTTAAATTAACAACTATTTATTAACAATCTTACTTAAGAAAATTCCATAATTAAAGAACAACATTTATTTATGTTTCTTTGGTATTTTTTAATCAATATTTCTATATTTTTGTGTAGAAATAGAATAGATAAATTTGAGAGACCAGCGTACAATCAGCATGCACAATAAATTGAGCATAATAGTTGGCAACATCTCAATTAATGTTCTCTGAGTCTCCTGCAGAGCAAAAGCCCAAAGAGCATAAGGCACTTTTGAGAGTGATCGGCACTCAGAGCAACGCACAGTGAAACTTTTTGAAGTTATTCATTATTCATTTTGCATTAAACGGAGCAAAGCTGAAATCACAGCATTTATGTTACAGTAAAGGCTTCGTTCCAAAGATTTATTAATAAATTTCATAGAATAGTGTAACGTATAACTTAAATGAAAAAGTATTTTATATTTATATTATTGTGTCGAAATAACGATTTTTATGTGAATATGTTTTGTTAATTTAATTAACACTCAGTTATTCGGAAACTTACAAAAAAAATACCTGAATTAGAGATCAATAATTAATTTCGACTCTTTGGTATTTTTAAATCAACATTTCTATATTATTGTGTGTAAGTAACGAAGCTTTCTGTAAAATATTAATATAAATTAACAACCAGTTATTCGGCTACTTACCTTCAAATTAAACACCACAATTAAAGAACAACATTTCATTACGTTTCTTTGGTATTTTTTATTCAATATTTCTGAAATTTTCACTAAAATTTTTGCTATTTCTAACATTTTTATTTCTATGTGTTTTTTTTTACTCTTCTGAATTGGCCAACAAACAAACTGTGTCACATTTAACTACATTAGGTACGATTTAAATTGTCACATTAAAAACAAACGAAATTAGCTATATCTATACTCGATAATCATAATTAGTTTTTAACAGTAGTTTTCTAACTCTTGAGGGGCATCTGCATACTCGGAAACTAATTCGACTAACCAATAAGATAAAATATAAAACACAACATGTCCTCACTGGGAGGTTGGGGAACAGTGGTCTGATAAAGCTACGTCTGATATCGATCATATTATTGTTTAATCTTATTAACTAAATTTCCAACAAATATTTGTTTTCATTTACGGGGCTGGCTATTCACCACTTGCATAAAATTTACATACATAAATATACATGTTTGTCGTTGTAAAATTTATGAAAAAATTATAAATAAATATTTAGCAAATAGTTTTTAGTTTTTGTTATAGTCTTTTCAAGAAGTTTCACTCTTGCGCAATGTAAGTATAATTTAGATTTGCTCTTAGAATCAATTTAAGTTGAAGTACTTTTGCACATCACTGTGCATTGCGTACATGGTGTTTGTTTTGTTTTTTTGGCACCCACTGTGGTTTATGGTAGTAATATAATTGTAGTCGTAATTGTAATTTAGCTGCTCTGGAAGTGTGTGTTATGTAGGGTTATGTGCCGTGTGTCGAAGGTACTTGATTTTATATCAGACCACATAACGATTCGATTCCATCTATAAGCTAACCTGTTTACATAGTACATACTAAACAAAATTAACCAAAAAAATGTACGGGATGCATAGTTGTTGCACATTGTTCTGTTTTGTTTCCCTTAGTTAATGTTTTGTTTTTGTTTGTTTCTTTTTTCTTTTATCTTTTTTTTTTGGTATGTGCAGACGAGTCTGCAAGGATATCGCTGGGCAGCACGGCCTTTTACAAAGGTCCCTGTCGCGATCTCAACTCTTACAGCTAAACAGTACACAAGACACGCAAACTAGTAGCTAAATTTAGACTCTAACTCTGCTTTGGGGCTTAGCGCTATGACGAAACATCTGTTTCGGACCCATCAAGTTCGCCCGGGGGATTTCGTTTAATACAATCCCGTATGCTTTGTAAAATGACGCCAACTCGTCGATCAAGCGCCTCCAGATGCGGCTGCCAGAGCACCGGATTGACGGGATCCACGTTCAGCGATTCGCTCATTATCACCGAAAGTGGCTTGGGCCCGTTGTGAAATCTGCGAAAGAGCAAACAGGCACAATAACAGTAATCAAGTATTAAGTGGCAAGTGGCAAGTGGTATATGTTATCTATTTGTATCTATCTCTATATATATGTATATGTATACATATCTACTCACTCTAGCAGCTTGATGAGCGTCGCCTTGCGTATCAGGCAGCATTGCAGCACTGGCGCCAATATGGAGAGCTCATCGTGAAAGGGACGCCCAAATCCACGTCCATGGTCCAAGTGAAGTGGGAAAGTCTCGTTGCCATAGATTCTATAATGATAGAGCAAAAGAATTACTGTGAAGTGATACATACACCCCGTGCATAAGCATAATTGCCTGCGAATGTGATTAGAGTCTAACAACAAGGATTGGCTTTGGTGCTGTCACAATACCAACAATTACTTCGCAAATGCTCATTTGAATAGCAACACCATATTCAGGGCATGCCACCTGGCTGCCAACGGATGTGGCATGTGGATGCGAGTCTGTTGCCGTCTGACTTCTTTAGCTGGAAACAGATTTGGTTCGCCATTTGCAGTCTGCATAAAAATATCTTTCCGAGACATTTGCTGCTGTCGTTGAGCATTTCAAATGCTGCCAAATATGGGCGCTGAGACCGCAGCAGCTGCATCATTAAAGCTCACATGCTCACATGCAGCCACATGGTAGGCATGAAGCCAACAACGCCATTTATGCGGAAATAAACCAATCCAGCTTGCCAAAAATTCGTTTTATGCACACTCATCCAGTCGCATGTGGACCAATCAATACTCACTTGAACGTCTCGTAATGATGACGATCCATGTTGCCGGTAAGAAAATCAAAGACAGACATATCCATAAGGTCCAGCAGACGGCGACCTTCATCGTAGGGTGGAATATCGCGAACCTGTGTTAAAAATCAAATGCGAGATTAAGCTGCAGTCGAGCGGTAGAAGAGGAGAAACATAAGAATTGTTGCTGTCTATGCAGACTTAATTAAGTCAGTGGCGATTGCTGGAAGCACAATTGCTTTAGCCGTAGTAACAAATAAAAACATTTGCATTCCACTCGAGCTAAAATGCAAATTAAGTTAAAATAACCGCAGCAGGAAGGAGCTGCAGACAAAAGCATACCGAACACAATCGGAACGGGAATGAAAATAGCACACAAAATTGGGGTAAGTAAAAGACGACTGTCTTTCTCCAAATAAGTAAGTAGCTGGCTTGCTGCTCTGCGACTCGTTTACTTACCAGAGCACAATAATTGGCATCTGTCTCCCACTGAGCCTTCTTGCGTTTGTGATAGGAACGTCGCCAAGGATGTCGCCAGAGCTGTAGGAGAGGAAACGGCGGGAATGAAATACAAAATCAATATCAATTTGAGTGGCACAATGTATAAAATCTAAAGCTGCTGAGTAGCATTAATATGCTACGGGTGCGCGGCGGTTGGGCTTCAGCTTAAAACATTTATTTCTCATTTTGCAATACGACAATATTATTTTTGTATTTTTTCTGCTCTTCTTCGGTTTTTTTTTCGCTTTATCTGCTCATTTTCATTTGCAGGGCGCAGCACTAGCAGCGAAATTAAATTATTTGCCAGGCAGCCAAGAAATGTAATAAAACTTTATCTAGAATTTTGTGGGGGCTGCTCGACGGCATTCAGTCCGGACCCCCAACAACCCCAACAACCGCAACTTACCTTGCGTCCCTATGCAAGTGGCAATGTCAAAGCGCGCATTTTGGTAGAGCGAAGAATTTTAGGATCGGGGACGTAACAACAACAACAACGCAGTAACCAAAAATATGTAGAAAGATTAAAAAATATAACAAAAAAATGGTTCAGATAAAAATCATAATAATAAAAGCAGTGCGCTTTCACCGTTGCGTGGGCGTAAATGGGCGCGCCAACTATGTGTAATGACCGGAAGTGCGCGCAAACCGCAAAATGCAGTAGGCGGCGTTGAGGCAAATAGAAAGCGGCAAGCAAGCAACAAAAAAAAAAGAAAAAATTCTGCAGTAGGAGCAAAGAGCAAACACAAAGCCAACACGTAAAAGTTAGGTAAGTTAACGGCAACATGGCTACGATGGGCGAAGGATTGTTTGCATATAAAGCAGGCCAGCCCATAAACTGCATAAATCAAGCGAAATTAAATTTCCACAAAAAGACAAGAGCGTGCAGAAGAAGCGCTGAAAAAATGAGTGCAGAATGTGGCAAATATGAGTACAAAGCAAGCATTTCGAGCATTTTTGTTGGCCTTGCAGTACCTTAATTGCTTTCGAGAAATCCATGAAATAATGCACGGGTGAAAGTTTCTTAACACCAATTTAAATAAATTACGCAAATTGTACAAACATGATCAGTGTGGAATATGAAGAACAAGAGATGAACTGAAGACAACATTTTTCGAAATTTGTCTTGCAATACCAAATGGCTTAAGTGAATTCGCTCAGCGAGCTTCTAGCTAACATTTTAATTGCATCCTGCAAACATCTAAAGGTGTCAGTGGGTTAGAAACTGTATATACATTTTCCGGCGTCATCCCACTCAGTCCGTCCTGCTTTTATTCACGTAAAGCAATTAACAAGCGTGCAAATCAAATTTGTGCCATAATTAAAACTCTTTCCAGTTATAAAATTGTTTGTTATTTTCTTTAGACGGCTGCCCCAGCGTAAATTATAAGAAGTGAATAAAAAGCAAGAGCAACAATAATAATATGAACCCCTTGCACACTGTTACTCTAAAAGTGGTACTAAAGAAAAATGATCTCCTGTGCATAATTTACAGTTTTGCCTAACGCTAAATCTCAAGAATATACTCAAACATTTTCTACTTGTTAACGGTTACGAAGGCAAGCCGAAAACAAGCAAAAATAAAATAAACAAAATTATTCCTTTGAGGCGTAAGCCAAAAATACGAAAAAATAGAAAAATGTTTCAGCTGCGGCAAATCTGTTGGCAAAATGGTAAGGGACATGGTCAAAGAGATATAAACCCTTCCTAACCACGCTGCTGATATTAAGGGTAAGCTGGTCACGGGTTCGGGTTTTTTTTTTGTTTTTTTTGGTTTATCCTTTAAATTTTTTGCGTTTAAAGGCCGTTGCCGTTGCCGCTGCCGCTGCTGCCATCCGCTGTCGTTAGCCACCCTTTTGATAGAGTGTACTCTGAAATTTATAACCGTCCGTTTGGGGTTCAGCATTTATATTTTATTTTGCGCTGAAGAACTGATACAATATTTTTGTTCTTAAGTGCCAGGCGGCATACTGAATGAATGCACGATTTTTGCCGAGTACCGAGGCAAACACAGGATACAAACCAAAAAAAATAAAATAAATAATATGCAAATGTAATGCGAGCCTGGTAATGAAGCTTGCGAATGGCAGCCACGCAACTAACTAGTTAAATTCTACCATTTATCTTTTTGTCGAGTTACTACTCGGGCTGTGCTACTCTCTCCCATTGAGTCATTTAGTTCAAACCAGAGCTTATAGAGCTTATTTTAGGTAACGCTGTCTGGGGCAGCTTACCTGTTGCGTACCAGCTTAGTTCCATCTATGTATATACATTTATAAGCACATGCTTAGTAAATTATGTGATTTGTTATTTAGTTTGGCCAAGCGCACGAATTTAGTAATGAAAGCGGCAAACTCGAGCGGGCGGAGAAAATAAATTGTAATCTGGCGCTAAGTTGAAAGTTGCCATGCATCAATCAACACTCCGGCGCACAAACCACAGAAGCCACTACTTACTCTATGTATCGTATATGAGTCCCATATGTGTATTAGTGTAGAGGGGGTGTGAGTGTGAGTGCGTGCGTGTGTTAATTGTTGAGAGTTGTGCTGTGGATGTGCTGACCTACCTTACGATTGGAGGACTCGAAGCTGGGCAGAAAGGCGGCGAAGGAGCCCTCGAGCATGTCCGGATTGCCGCAAATGGCATGCGAGGTGTCACAGTAGTACGAACACTTGCCATGGAAACATAAATTCAACGATGGTGAAACAAAGAATGTCTTCAATAAATTTTCGTCGGCCATTTGATAAATTTCGGTTGTAATGTTCAATGTGCGCCCTGCCACGGGCATTGCACGACGAAAACCCAGGACTCTGCAAACAGAAATAAAATAAGCGTTGGGCACTCAGCGAGATATAAACGGTAAATAAACTGCCAAAAAAAAAAAAATATAACAAAAATAAACAATACTTATTGCAGGAGTGCGTGAGCAAAGCAAACAAATTATCTGGCGGACGAAAGTCGACATTGAAATACTCTTTACGGATTAATTGCGTCGGAGCAGCGAAATCTGTATTTTGTCTCGACTTAGCTTGAGCATTTTCTTGTAACTATTTTATTCGATTGAATAACAGCCGAGCACAAATTCCATTTCAAACGGAGGTCCACTGGAGTAGAGCATATAATAAATGTTTTTACAATTAACTGGCAGGCACAGCAGAAATATGTGTCTGGCGAAACTGAACTGCTTGGCAACATGAAATATGTTCAGTGTCTAGTAAGTGTCGCATCAGATAATCAGTGAAATGCCGTTAGTTGAACGCCATTTAATTACTGTGTGACCAACAATTTTGTCTCTTCGAAATTCACGAAACATTCATTTGCTTGGACTGCGATGCCAATAGAAAAGAACCTAGGGCATCTTGTGGGAAACAGCGACAAATCAACTTGAATGTAGTTCAAACATAATTAACCATTTTAAGGTAGTATGTGAGTATTAAAGATTTATTCCACAGTAACTCCACCTCTCAAAGGATATGTGAACGCTCAACCGAAATGTTGCTTGGCCATCATAAATAGTAACATAAATAAACTTGGCTTTTTGGTTTCCCTTTAACTCTATGCAAATTAGCTTAAGCTTTTAATCAGACCGAAGCAGGCTGGTTTTATAAATGATTTGACAAAAGTATCATATGAACCATAACATCCAAGTAGAGTTTATAGCTGCAGCTCAAAGTCTCTGCTGATTGAGTAATAAAATAAAAAAATAAATAAAGTAAATAATATTTAAATAATAAAAACTTGCTGATATATGCATCTATAGCGTTGTATATCATTCTTGCATTGTAACAATTGCAAAAATATTTACGTTCAAATTGGTAAATGTAATTAAAAATGAAATTTAAAATAAATATTCGTTAAATATGCGAGCTATGCAATGATTTTTATTGCATAAATTGCAACTGCATTTTTTATACAGTTCACTGCATTCTTAAACGACATTTGCCCGGAGTGGGGTGTGGCGAACTCACCTGTCCAAATGGAAGGCAGCAATCTCAGCATTGTGACGCTCATAGTCTGTAAAGTAGAAATGATTGGGCAACGTTTGCTGCTCCCTCGGAAACCTGAAAAAAAAAAAACAAAAAAGAAAGATAAACAAAAAATGAGATCGTAGTATAATGAATTGAATTTAAAGTGCGGGCGCCAGTTGAGTGCATTTTGCATTCGCAACGAGGTGAGTGTAGAAATTCAGGAGCGGACCACAGGACGATTGGATGGATGAATGGATGGGCGGAATTGGGCGGATGGCCGGCGTGGTTACTTGATTGCTGTATGCCAGCTTAATTACTTACACTGCGACACCGCAGCGTAATTCAAAAAACGTTTCATTTAAATTGCAAATGAAGAACATTAAAAGGACACTTTACACTTTACTTTGTCAACTGCAGCGTTTCTGCGGGTTGTGAACTGGGTCTGGATCGCGAAAACTGGCCAAGCGCTGCGCTTAAATCCCATTATAAAATGGCGTTTAAATGCTTCAAGTGCCAGGTACTGAACTCCAAATGCAGTCCAATTTATGAGCATTGCAGTCCATGAATTTCATTGAAACGCCCATTTGCTGGCCACAGAAAAGTCAGCAATGGTAAATTATATTTACTCAGGACGAATGTGGTGAATTTCATAATTATTAATTTTCTTTTTGCTTAACCGCTTAATGAGGTATTTGTGCTTATAGAACTTACCGCATAGGCTTCATTAAAGCCTTGATGTCATTCGGATACTCAATAATCAGCTTCAGCTGGGTGCCGCCCTCCTTTTGCACTATGGGAAATGTGGAAAAGAGCAGAGAAAAGACAATTAAATCAGTTAAGTGAAGCAAAAATGCGAATACTTGAATTTAATTAATGCATAAAAGGTTGCTGTGCACAATTTTCGCCTCGTTGCTCAAGATATTTTCGACCACAAGAAAAAAAAAGGGGAAAAGCAAGTGGTTATCTCAGATGTGGCAATTACTGAGATTGCATTGAACGAAAGTGTATGCACAAATAACACTTTCTTAAATTAATATTTAAATGTATATGACTCACTCAAATATTTCGCATTCGTAAAGTGACCGCAATGAACAAAACTTTTCTATCGTTTCTGTCTGGCTGACATTAGACATGTAAACATTTATATGCATATCAAAACCATATTTTCTTGGTATATATTTTAGCTGCGTACACCACAAATATATTTAAAATTTAAATCATGTTATGTAAATGTGACTTTTTTGTTGTTGAGTTATTACATAAATTTAAATATTTATACACTGTGCTCGCTAAATAAATAAGTGTTTGATGCCATAGAGGTTGTAAACTGATTATATGAATATCTTTACATAAATGATTAATAATAATTGCTCAAACAGTTAATTGGCTAAAAGGTAACATGGTTAAAATTTGACAGAGTGCACTTTTGCTGTTCAGCGTATGCGTAATAAAACTTTGTTCAGCTCGTATAAGAGACATTGTTGTATTTGTTGTCGTTGTTGTGGCTGTTGGCGCCAAGAGCGGGGAAATGAATTTTGCAATTTGTCTTGCACATTTTGCATTTTAATGTTGTTTCTTGTGTTTTGTGCGCCTGTTCAAAAGTTTATTATTAATAAATTCGGGCCATAGTAAACTTTCAAATGAAAATAGTTTTGCCTGCCACCTTGGCGACTCTCAATAATCCGAGCAAGTTCTGTGCCGCTTCCTTGCATAATTAAGTTAAATGTGCAGCCAACCAAAGGGCGAATAAGTTTACAAAAGGGTTTTAACCAAAATGCTGGCACGGCAAGTGCTCGAGTATTTATGGCTTTACAATGGCTTCAGTTGCTGCTGACTCTGAATTTGTGTGTTGAGTTGCAGCAGTAAGTGTATACATATTTACAGTTATAGTTGTAGTTGTACTTACCCACATGCTGTATTGGCAGCTTGATCATGTCACGTAGCACCGCATCGACTAGTGTATCCTGCTCGCTGTAGAGCTCCTTCTTTGTAATGCGCAATTGGAAGCGCTCCAAATTGCTGGCGTTTGCTCTGCAACGAAACCAAGATAGTAAAAGAAAGTTTAGCCAGCTGTCGTTCCATGAGCATACAGGCAGAAAATCAGCCAACTTGGGGATTACAGCGGATGCGTTCATAAGTATGCAACGAGAATGCTTTTGGCCAAATACACACTAGTATCAACTTGCCGACATGATTGTCACATTGATTTGTCAAAGCAGTCGCCATCCTTTCATCCTGCAGGCTGCAGGCTGCTGGCAGCCTGCAGCTGTTGCAGGAAATCTCTCCACATTCATTCTCCGAATTGTTGCCATGTCAATTTGAGTTTCAAATGCATTCTTCCTACCTCTGAATCAATTGAAAAATCGACATAAAAAACGTACACGCATTTTTTCGCTGTAATCTTGGCAACCTTAAAAGTACCATTCTCTTTGTAGCACATTACTCGGCTTTACCATCTCAGTTGTCGGTGGACAGTAAAAAAAATGGAGCAGAATGCATTGCTGCCATATGTGCACAGTCTTTGCTTTCTACCATTGCATTAAAATTCCTTTCCCTCTCTCTCTCTGCTTGTTTGCGATTTTGTCTTTGGGCATTCGCATTTGAAACAGTTTATTTAAGCAGTTTTTGCAATTTTCCTTTACGTCGCTGACTAAGCATTAAATCGGATTGAAAATTGCAGCTTAAATGCGCCGCAAACTTTTTAAGCGAAATAGCTGTTGCATACTTTCTGGCTGAGGAAATTGAACTGCTAACAATATGCACCGCAAATTATCAACAACAAAATGGGGAAATAAATAAATTCGATAGAAAACCAGTGGATGACAAATTAAATTGTTGAAATTTGTAGCCTCGCAACTGCTGTTGGTCAAGTTGCCAGCTGCAAATCTCGCCAAAGGACTGTCAGTTCACAGCATGAGCAATGGCAAATGTCTGTGGTATTGTTTGCCATGTTTATCAAGATAATGTAGTAGTCACAATCCGCCTAACTCTATCCAAGCAGGCACATAGCTTGCCAGCTTGACTGCACTCACATTACTCTCTCTTCCTTTCTCTCTCTCTCTCTCTCTCTCCCTGTCTCTCTGTTTCTCTGTCTTTCAAAAATCTCCTCTTTCTCTTTATCTTTGTCATTGCCGTTACTGCCACTACAATGATTGCCGTTCTTGTCTGTTTGGCCGGGTGGTTAGCTAACTGGCTGGCTGCTGTCAGCCCAGAGTCATCTAAGTGCTTTTGCTCTTGTTGGAATCCTTTTCATAATTTGCTTGATGACGGCTGTGATACGCAGGCAATGCTTTAAGACTGCTTCCTGCCGTCGCCGTACGTTGTTTGCGTAACTTTGGTCGCCCCTTGCTTCAGGTGGCAGGAAGGAAACAAGTGTCTAACATCCCAACCCCCTTTGTGCAACGACCGGCACAAAATGACTTTCAATATTTTAACTTTTTATGGAAATGGCGACAACTTCCTGACTACCTGGACTGACTTCCACTGGACGTGCTGAGCGTATGCACAGAGTTCAGTTGAAAGGTTCTGATAAATGTGCGAACTGCATGCGGCTTATTAAAGCGTCTGAATGGGCTGCAATTAAAAGCAGTTGAATGGCTGCTTCTTCTTGGCAGCAGCTGCCAATTGTCATGAAATGCCCAAGAAATTGACGAGGGTTCAGGCTGGGGTCACAGACGCAGCTGCTAAGTGCGGTCCACTGTCAGCAACCACAGTTCATTCCAGCCAGGATCGACAGTCGCCACCGTAGCGACATTGAGTCCAATTTTCGTGCATGTTCATTTGTCAAATGCCACTGGGGCCAATAAGGTGGCGAGGAGGTGGCTGGAGAGCGGCGTAATTGATGAAGCAGCTCGCTTAGACGTTGACTAATAACGAGATACTGTCCAGCAGGCAATATGTTGATTTGGCGGCTTGTTAATGTATTTTGTCAATGGCTTAAAGCTTTTGCTTATGTAGTACCACATTTGTTATATGCCACTCCTGATCAAATCCCTTTATAATTGAGTTACGCAGAAAAGTTGCAGCCTGTCTGCAACAAGAGATGAATTAGTTCAGAACTATGCCAAACTGAATGTGACACATTGTGCGACCAGACACATCCACATGGGATAACCATTTTTTGCACAACCTAACGCAATGTCAGCTATTCCAAGCGTTGACAGGAAGCAAACTTTAAATAATTTTTTTTATATTGACAGTCTGATTGCTGTTTACTTCATCCGGACGAGAGAAACGCTGACAAAAAATTATGGCAAAGTGATTTAATGTAATTTTAGCGAAAATTATTTATACATTAATAAAAAGTACAAAATAATTTAAACAATGGCAACTTATGAACTTCATCGCGCTCTGTTGAGCCGGGCAAAAGTCTAACTTTTTATGATGTTTTAATTTTGTTTTTATCAATATTCGAGCTAAATTAACCAGAAACAAAACTTATCTAAACAAAGTTTACCTTTTTTATTGAGCTCTAAAGGGTTTATTCATTCATTCATTGAAACAATCGGTATGCCTTGAGCTTATACCACTTAGATTTAACAACAATTTTAATTTGTATATATAAATCGATGGATTTTTTAACAGAACTAGTCTCAATTTCCAATCTTACAATTGAGAACCTTTAATTTTTGTGCAACTCCTCCGGTCGACCAATTCGATTAAAGTGTACAGAATATAGATATCACTTGGACTGTATGTTTTCGGGTCTCTTTTTGATATTGTCAACGTTTTCCCATTTACCTCAAATAGGTCTAAGTACTGCTATCAACTGGCATGTCCCGGGGCGTTTCCAGTTCTTTGCTCAGCCCAAGTCTGTTCCATAATTGGTTCAGCATGGGAAAATGCCAGTAAAGTTGGCCATCGTCGATTGTGTTTGCAGCTGCGCTCGTTCGCAGTCGCAGCCATTGCCGCAGCCAGTTTCATAGCTTCGCCATATGCAAAGAAAGTGTAAAACTTTGTGCGTGCAAAATTGTGGCAGGCAGACAACCCAACAACGCAACCGCTGCTGAGATTCCAGCGGCAACGGCAACGGGCAACGGCCACACACACTTTGAACAGAGTTGCGAATATAACGCAGAAAAACGAAAATTAAACTTATATTGTTGCGTTTGCCAGGCTTCCAGGATAAACTTCAGTTGCGACAAGAGAGCGAACATTAAAACCAGTGACTGCCAACCAGCTGCAGCTGCGCCACCACAACTGAATAAGGAGCAGCCAGCAGACAGCAACCAGCATCCATGATAGCTGGCAAAATGTCAGCGCACATTAGTTTTACACACTCGCCGACATTGGGCATAGTCTTTTATTACGACGCGTCTGGGGCAAACCGCATCGCCATCCGCAGTCCGATGCGAATCGGGCTAACAGCTGCTGCTTAGCTTGCACTTGCCGGATATTTCTTGTTATTTGGCTGTAATTTGCTCAAAATAAAATTGTTGCCAAGCTTAACGTGGTCGCATTTGCGGGCTAATTAAAAATTTGTCATACTAATTAAACGTACGCAACGTGAAAAGGTGATGGCTTAAAGTTGGGCCAATAGCAGGTCGCTGAGGATTATGGCTAATCAGGGGCAGTGTAGACAGCATCAGCAGTGCTACGTCAAAACGCGGTAGAATTTTTTAATTATATTTGTGGCAATGAAGAAGACAAGTTGCTTTGGTTACCAACTCTGTTGTCATACCGCTCGTCATATATCATGTTATAATTTTAGGCACATTTGCATTTTTTGTAAGCTGCATTTTTGTTTTTTTTATGTTTTTTTTTTTTGTTGCCAGAACCACCTGAACGTCATCGCATGCAAAACATTTAAAAAACTGCTGACTGAGCTGCCGCAACCGAGTCCGTACACATCCCTGCACCTTGAAAATTGAGAACTAAGGCAAAGGACGGACCAAGCCACATGAGCGTGGCACGCGCCTGCTGTGGCAGCTAACAATGCCAACAAACGAGACGACAGAATTTTAATGAGATACCTCTGGCACAGGCAGGCACAGCCGCAAGCTACGCCCTGATCCTTTCTCAGCCATATCCCGTTACCGTTCTTCACCAATGCAATGTGGCCAGAAAGCTTGTCAGTCAAAATTTTGTGATTCTATTTTGTTATATTTTATTATCTCTTTTATGCATGCAAATTTTTGATAGGTTATCCTAGGGTGTCTTCAAGTACAGCACTGTGAGATAGAATATTCTTGCTTGTTTAATTCTCTTCTTCTTTTTTTATTTTGTTCACTTTTTTGCACATTTACTGCAAGCAATTTCGCTAGTTAATGAAATTTGCATTTGTGCTACTTGCAGCGCAGAGAACATTCGGCTCTGTTTCGGTGATGTGCGATAAATTAGAAAATCAAGTAGTTCATGCTAATGCCAACGCCCACAGACCGCACCCAGACAACGCCGCAACATATATCCGTTTGAAAAGTTTTTACCAATTTGCATTTTAGCCCATTCGCCTTCAACACTTATTATTTTTATACTTTTTGTGCAGACTCAATGTGAACCAACAACTATTTCTACAAATAGAACTAGTCATTCAACTCGTTTTCAATATATATACACACTATCAACTTGAAGCTTGAAACAGAACCTGGAAATGATCCCAGACGTTTTGTGGACTGTGCGAGATGGTTGGAAAAACGCTAAGCAGATTACTGTGCGAGAAAATCAAATGAATTTGCTGCGTAAGAAATTCAGCTTCTTTATTAAACGAAAGCTGAGGCAACCGCCAAAGAAGACATTGGCAATACGAAATCCGCATTGATTTCTTTATTGCAATTTTATTTGATTGCTCTCATATAAAATTACGTATACGCAATGTTGAGACAAGCACTGTAGCCTAGCGTTAAGCTCACATCAGCGCTATCAGCAAATGACATCAGCTTCGCAATCGTTCTGAACAACAACAGACGTAGCTGTGCCAACCACAGCAACAACAATATCGGGCTCACATATATGAAGATGGAGTGGAGATTTAAAGCGTAAACGTCAACGTAAACGTTAACGTTACAGCAAATATCTAAAACGTAAATGTATCACGTAAATGGAGCGTAAATTTCAATAAAAATCATTTCAATTTCATCCAAGCCAAAGCCAAAAGCAACTGTGACTGCTTCTGTCGTACGCCACATGGGCATACTGAAAATTTAGGTAGTTGTGTGGTTGAGGCATGGGATGGTTACTGCCCCCACAATTACGACAGTCGATGCGCGTGCCAGGCAAATGTGAATGAAACTGTAGTCTGGCATTGCAAGGAAAGTACGTATTTTGGAAGACAAACTCGAAGGTATAACACTGAACAATATGCCTTCCGTTTCGAGGAAATTGCATTTTTCATTGAGCTTCCGTTCGTCTGCCATTAACAAGCGCATTTAACTACTCAATATTACTCACCCGACTTGACGGTGCAGCATCTCGCCCAGTGTAGGATTATTGGTTGTCACATCTGGTGCATTATCAACTAGCACATGTCCGTACTCATCGCTCAGCAACAGCTTCTGCAGATCCACATAGCGATCGTGCGGCGTTGGCTTTCGCGTGGATGGAGTGGAGCCAGCGACTACCGCCTCCTGGCCGCTTGTGGTGCCGCCACTCTGACTGCCCGAGGCTTGGGCCTGAGTGGATGCCTCCTTGGAGCCCGAAGAGTTACTGCAAGAAAGTGTGTTCAAAAGAAATAATTTAATTAACTTTCAGGCCAACTGCAGGCAATTGCAGCTATTTACGACTTACAAGTGGCCAGAACAAGTGGCCAAGGTAAGTGCATCTATTGCAACTTGAATGCAATACAAATGTGAAGAAAAGGTAAACAGTGGGTATGACTTGGGTGAACTTGTGCACACATAAAAACTGGTCTAAGTAGCTGATATGTAATGCAAACAAAGTTATATGTTGCAAATTGAGTGCCAGCTATATAAATAAAGTTAGAAGTTAAAAAGTAAATTGCATATACAAATCAGAATACAAATAAAAAACAACTTATTAACTTTTGTTTACTCTTTCAAGTTTCTTAGTTTATATGATCTAACGCTTTGACGGTCTCTCTATAGGCATATCCACATAAGATGCATGTTTCACTTATCTCAATTATTTTGTTTTACTGTTTTTGTTTGGCTTAACTTAAACTTGGACCCGGCTGCATTCAGCAGTATCTCGTTATCACAATATTTAGAAGTTGCTCGTGTGCTTTTCGTAATTTAAGTGCTACTCTCTTAGGCCATTAAAATGCATTTTTAATACACCTACGACAAGTTCTTCACATGAAAGAAAACCGAATGTTGCATCATTAGGGGCTGGGGCTTACATGCCGAAAGTTGACTCAATTCTGGTCTTGCAAATTGCTTCGCGTTAGCCGCACAACTTTTGTGCACTGTCGTTTCAATTTTTTAATTGTGCTTAAGGTGTGCAACAATTTCGGTTCGGTTTCGTACCCACCCGTTACCCCTGTCTGCGTGGGCGACCAAGTTAGATGTCTCTGTTATGGACTTGTCTGGGTGTGTCATTCAAAAGGTGCGCACATGTGCAGTGTCAGGTTAAATCTGAAACTTTTTCAATTAACAGTTGCCGGCAAGCTTTAAACTTTACAGCCACAAGAGGGCGCCGGACCCTTTCCGACGAAAGCCGCAGGTCCTATTACGAAAACGTCATAACGAGGCTCTGTCGACTTAACGCACTTAATGCCAACAAATACATAAACACACGCATACGCATATGAAAGGAAAAAAAATCATGCCACATAATGCCATTTTATGTGGCAATGGGAATTAAATGCTTACTTTGTTGCAGGTATGTTTTACCGACAAAAGGCAACAGATGCTATATGCAAAATTCTTGCAGCCTTGCTCTGATATTTATGCAATATGCTAAGTTGATTTTGTGGCCAAAACGGATTACATGACGGTGGCTGATAAGTCACGTGGCCTCTCATTGCACCGCCACGTGACGTGCTTGACACGGGCTCTGGTTTGCCTTTTCTACTTTCGATGACAGAGTATAAAAGCGAGTGGCTTGCTTACATAAATAATTCAAGCTGTGTTTATAATTATTGGGGTACTTGAACTTTTTGCTGGGTATAAGCTTATTTTAGTTAGCGTCAGTCTTTAGTATATGCATATATTTTCAGACGCACTCAATACGCATACGCAGAAAATGATTAAAAAAAATTCTATAAACAACAGTTTACAATTCAATTTATTATGAATATTTTGTAATATTATAATTCTGAAAAATATAGAAAAAACCCAATTGCTAATTTTAAGTCTAGGCATAATTTTGGTTTCAGTGGAATTTTCTAAATTTATCGTTTTATTTCTCTGACCGCTTCTATGCACACGCAAAGCTTGTTTTTTATAATCGTCCCAATTAAGAATTGTATACTTTATAGTTGTAATATTATATATAATTTATATGTATATATATTTTACAAAGTACATAATATTCTCCTTAGAATGACTGCGTCATGCACGACATCTACAATACTTTCTACGATCTAACAATCAGGTTAGCAAACAGCGTTTCCTCCAATTCATGCTGAATAAAAGCACTATAATATTTTATAATATATAATATAATATTGTCTGCTTCGGGGTAAAAGCTAGCAACCGGATGTAATTCAGGTGCTCGAAGTAATTGTTAGCACAGCTCTGCAGTAATAAACATCGCATAAAATATTATTATATTATTCATGTTACATATAACAAAAGTTATTTATAGAATCAGCATGTTAATTCAAAAAATGATCAAATCGAAGACGGCGAAAAGAACGCAAAAAGACAGCATAATACTGACAATTTGTAAGTACAGAGCAGAAAATACGGAAATCATTTTGCAGGCCGCACCAAACAAGTTATGAATTAATTAAATATTTGCCGGCTAGAAGCCGAGGCGAAGTAAAATCGAGTTGCCGCTTGCTGCACCTGAAAGCGAACGGTCTGAATTGTAACTCTGTTGGTTGGGGTCCTGGAAGCGTGTTCTGCGTTTTGCACGTCATTCTAATGTTTTATTACTGGACTTCCGTCAGCAGCAGGAAAATGTCGGCGCACCCTGCACAGCCCCACCCACACATCCATATATATCCACATGTACGATTACGCAGCAAATTATAAGGAACATCAAGTCGATCTCATCGTAAAAAGTGCAAAGACCAAAGGCCTCTTTGTGTGTGCATGTTCAGAAATATATACATTCGCTGAGCATGAAGAGCGACATTAACAGCCATGTTACAGTTGGTTGTTACGGCCATAACCGTTGCCATTCCACGAGCTCGTAGTTTCCAAGAAGTTTTGTGCAGGTCGTGCTCCGTCTTGAACCTTCTGCCTGGTTGCAGCAAATTATGTTTTAATGTCTGGCCAACCATATCTTATTGCAACTTTTGTTGCATTTTGCTAAATTGAATTATGTACAAAAGTCGTTGCTGGCTCGCAGGGTGTACGCCTGTGCCCGTCACTAGGACTATGTGGGAGCAATGGCCGGATAGTGATTCCTACGTAAGTTTTACTCACAGCTTTATGCTAACCGGACAATAAAATGACTAGAATATAAATATTTATATAGGTGCGCTCATTGTCTATTCACTACAAAACTGAATATATGATCATTCATAAATAATAAAATATAAAAGCGACGTAAGCCTAGTATATTTATGACCAGACACAATGTTCCTCTGTATTATTAGAAATAATTGCTGTTATAGTTGAATAAATTTTAATATTCGCTTTCACCAACCCTTTGTCATCGGTTGTGTTTGCAGATCCCAGCTAAAGCAACTAATGTTTTTCAATCTAATTCCACGAAATATTCTGTGGCACTTACCTCTTTTGCAGGAACTTGCGTTTAAACTCATGCAGCATGCCTCCACCTGCAGCTGAGCCCACTTCGTTGTAATCATTGTTGTTGCCAAGACGCAGCTTTTGATGCTGCTGTTGTAGCAAATGGCGATTTGCAACGCCAAAGTCCATTTGCACATCCACAATTAGCAACAGGGTAAGCAGGACGAGCGTCGCTCCTAGGCTAATAGCCAAGCGCTCCTTAAGCTTCATAGTACGCAGGACAGCCATAATGGAAAAAGGACTCGTGCTCCTTTGACTCTTGGTGGTCTCTATTTGGCTTTGAGCTAGGTCTGTTGCTATGACACCCTTTGAAGTGCCACCCAAATTGCGCAGTCTTGATAGCCAGCCGGAACTTGAATCCTTTGCCTTAGCCTCCGCTGTCCTGGCCGCCTGCCTGTGGGGGGAGCCCGATGTTTGAAGTACAGCCGCGTTACGGGCGCGTGTCGAGCGGACAATGCGCCGCTTGATGAGCACACGTCGTCGTGGCGCTCCCTCGTCGCTGCCAGGCTCCTTCTGTTGGGCCTCAAAGTGGTGCTCGGACTCGTCTAAGCCGTCAGTCGAAGAACGCGTGGGAACATCGACTGCAACACTGGCGCTGAAGCGTCGAACAGCGGGCTGCCAACTGTTATTGGTATTGTTGTTGTTGTTGTTGTTATGATTATGCGAATTGGCAACGCTTATTTGCTCAGCTGATAAAGGGGGCTCGTCGATATCAGAGCTGTTATAGCGCTGCTGTCGCTGCCGGAATCGCTGCAGGCGTTCCGCTAACGGCGCAGACTGCGCGCAGCTGAAATAAGAAAGGAGATTTTTTTTATAAGAATGGCAAATCGGAGTATATGTCAGATTGCTAACCAGACGACTGCTGTGCGAAATATAATCAAACGTGGTCATAAAACCAACTATTCGAGCTGTAATTCAAAAATTCTTAAAAAAAAAATAAATTGTCGAAGGTTGTTCGACGTTTATTGTGCCACGATACTCATGGATGTCACCATCCAATTTGCACAAAAACCAATCGACGCACTGGGTAGTCTTATAACAGCCACGGCATAGATGTTTTTTTTAGTTATCTATCTATCGGAGGTCAAATATAAAATATATCCAGACAAATATATAAATAAATATTTTATTGCAGATTATCATAACATTTTTGAAAATATAGATTGGAATATTTATTGAATTTTTATTTAGCTTTCTTTTTATATATGTTTTTTGTTTTATTTCATTTATGACAAGTGACTTGCAAGTGCTATGGAAATGTTATTAAACTTCAATTGTTGAGGGCATAACAACGGGAACGAGCTTCAAAAATATGAACAGACACGGCTACTGTTCCAATGCTCCCTTTTTTTTTTTTAGTAGTGTCTACAGCGGCGTCACGACCATCCGCCATTTTGACTGCTGCCGGAAATGCGACAGAGACCATTTTTTGTGCCGCTAACTTTGCACTTTGCAGTTGTAGTTGTTGTTTATTGTCTGGCTTTAATTTATTTTTTTATTTTTTTTTTTGCATGAGACATATTTGTTTGCCAGCTCTTGTTTTGCCATGTTTTGAGTATATGTTGCTGGCAGACAATCAGGATTTAAACTATAGCTACAACAGGCTTGTGAAGGCTTAGAGAATGCATATCGTGTTGTTTTCGTTGTTGATAGGCAGGTCAAAGTTAACAAAGCTTGTTGCTCTCCTACATGAGATAACTGACATGTGTTGTTTAACCCACGCTGTATTGTTCCTGCTTAAACAACAAAATGCAGCTGACAAAAATGGAGAAAAGGCAGATATAACAGCTGCATGTGCAAATTGAAGGCAATGCGAATTAATTGGTATTTCAGACAATTGGACGAAAGTTACGTTGCCGTTACCCGCATGTTGTAGTCATGACGTAACTGAGCTTAAATATGTACATAGTCGCACCCGTAATGAAAATTTAACAAGAGTTCATATGCAGAAATTGCTGATTAGGGCCTCAACATGACAGATAACATGACAAAAGCGTCGTCAGATTGTAAATTGAACCAACTGAACTTTGCAACCGACTTAAGCGGGCCGCCATGTCAATCAAATCAAATATCGTGTCAATTGGCAAGGCAGCTTATCAAAGTTGCATATCATGACGAGACGATTCGACAGCTACATCCAGAGAGAAGAGTATAACTGGATTTACTTGGCGGCATTTCGTGTACTTAAGTGCGATAAGGGGGCAACAGGCAGATTGACTGGCATGTTATCTGAGATACGTGTATGCGCAATGCTTGCAACAATCAAATCAATTGCTGACATCTACCAGACCCCAACACTGTCAGTCAAATTCAGCCAGTGGTAAGAGCCGTAGAAGCTCTGGCATTGCATATATATATATGCTTGTAGACTGCAGGAGGGCGGGTTGCATGCAGATACCCCACATTTATCGGATGGCGACGACGGAGAGTGATAAGCGACAGCAGCAGGCACATCAATAATAACAAAACATCTGAATATGAGCGGGAAGGGAGCAGAAGTTCTGAGGTGAGTTAATAGCAATTGCTATCGCCGCATGTTGTTGTTGACAACGTTGCTGTTTTTGTCATTGTTGTTGCTGTTGCTGTTGCTGTTTGATAAAATTGCTGCGTTGCGTTAAATTCAACTGATGTGGTCTATTAATGATGGAATAAAGCTGCAGTGGAACGTTGAGTAGCGCTAAGTTAAATTTACTGCTGAATGCAGCAAAAGCAGTGCCTTGTGTCGGCAAAGTGAGTGACAGCAATTTCCCTTCCAATTTGTGCTGTGTTTTTATTAATCACATCAAACGGAAAACAGAAACGAAAAAAAAGAGCAAAAAGAGTTAAGGGCAAGGGAGTTCAATGTACACCCATGGAACGTGCAAAAGAGTCGATGCATCTAGTGATAAGATACAGGCAAGTATACAGCGTATACAAAGACGCAGTTCTCCGACATGAATTAATTAAAGGCAAGGCTTTGAATGCCATATCGAAATGTGAAATCTAAAGAGTAGTGAATGAACTTATTTACACAAAAAAAAAGAGTATTCAGATAACAAGTGAAATATATTCGGAAATTGTATTGTGGCATCAATTTCTTTGACTGGCCTCATTATCGACCCCAACGTTAAATCAAACTCACTTTCAATCAAATGACAAATAACTTTCCGCTACCTTTCTCCCGCTCAATTAGCTTCAGTCACTGAACTTGCCAGCGCCGACAACAAGATTATGCATTTTCCCCTGCTCTACTCTGCTCAGCTGCCCTTTCCTTGCAGCCCCCAGCCCCCCAGCCAAACCAGCTGATACGCATGATTGATTTTCGGAAACTATTCCCAGACCCCCCCACCAGTTAGCAATCGTTTGGCCCTGGGTGAGTGCTGTGTTATGCGTTGCTGTTGTGTTTGTTGTAAGTGCGAGTGAACGCGTAACCCGCACAAACTTGACATGCAAACTCGGCAAACTCAAATCAAATCAGTAACGATTGAGCAACAGCCACTGCTAAAAATGACACGCTTGATGCATTCACTGGCACGTCTGTCGTACTTCCCCTCACGGTAACAGCAGTCTGTTGCCTGCCACGCATCAATGAGGTTGAAGAATGTTGTCCATTATGCTCTTGCTCGACCAGCCAAACAACGTATCGAGATTGGCTGGCAAACAGCTTATCGATTCTATATCATTGTTCCCAGCGGTTGCAAATGAGCCAAAAGCAACAGCCACAGTGCAAGTTTGCCCCATCGGCCAATCAAACAAACGCCATCCGATATACAAATGCCTAACAAACTGGTGAAGTGGCTGGGTTAGTTTTGGTTTCCGCTTTGACTCGAATGTTACTTTTTAACGGACAATTGACGCACGAAACTTGAACAAATTGATCAACTTAGCCAAATGGATGCCACAAAATTAGAAAACTTATTGCTGTAAAGTTTCGATTACCAAATACTATTTAAGGTCTTCTAAAACTCAAAGCTAATTGGCTTAATCTCCAGCATAAATTAATTTACACAAACTATCTCGGAATAATATGTTGCTCAGTGTTTGGCTATCAAAATTAATCACTTTTAAAGGTTTTCGATATGTAATCTATACTTAGATAGTCGAATTTTATTTCAAATCGATTGTTTGTATGAATATGAGCAAAAAAAAAAACATTGTTTCAAAACTGATTATGAAGTTGTCGATTGTATATGTGAGCATACGTGAAGAGCTCTCAAATCCATAGTATGTAAGTTAGAAATTGTTATTAATATTGAATTGGTATTTCTCATTTCCTGGTCTTAACCTTTTACTTTCAGTTTCAAAAATTAATTTAAATATAAATAAATAGGGGTAGAGCTTATCTTTATTTCGTTCATCTATTTATTCTTGGCGATTTGCCTTTGCGCTTCGTCAATTTACCTTACGCCTTGCATGCTTTGGCTCTGCTCCTGCAGATGCTCCGCCAGCTCATCAGTGCTATCCTCTTTGTGCAGATAAGCAGGAGCGGCAGAAGAATATATTTCATGAGGGTAGTCCGCTTTGCTGGCCTCCAGCGATACCGACTCCTGCCGCATTCTCAGGTGATTCAATGGCTGCGATTTCTCTGTAGCGGTGCCCCAGGTTATTTCATTACCAAAGTCAACATTGTTGTTGTTCCAGACTCCTGGCAACTTAAGCTCCAAGGTCTGTTGCTGCTGCTGCTGCTGTTGCTGTTGCTGATGCTGCTGTTGCTGTTGCTGATGCTGTTTTTGCCTGCTACTGTTAATAATATTTTCTGGCTGGCTTGCTGCTTGCCAGTTGGTTCGCTCCTGCCAGGGCAACGAAGGACGACGAGGCGAGGTGACAGCTGGGTGCTGCTGCTGCTGCTGCTGCTGCAACTGCCCCGGAGCCAATTGAAATTCGCTCTGTTGGCAACCATTGTTTTCTTTGTTAGCATGGCCGCCCAGTGCGTGGCTCGTTTCATTGTAGATGTCGTCCTTGTTGTAGTCGTCGCTGGAATTGTTCTGAAGGTTATTGCCGCCCATTGAATTCCTGTTGACGCCATCATATTGTTTTATTGCTGATTGATTCCTACCCATTGCCATGTGATTTATGCCTGAGTTAACGCTCCCTTGGCACATGCTCGACTGGAAATCACCATTGTTTTTATTATACCTATTGTAGCTGGCAATTTGTCCCACAGAGCGTCTCAGCGCTTGGCTGCTCTGCGACAGGCCATTTCCCTGCTGCATTTGCCTCTGACTCTCCAACCGCTCCGTCTGTAGCTCCTTCTGCTCCGATCGCCCCCGCTCCAGGCAGACAGTGCTTTGGCTGCGCTGTCGCTCCGCTTTGCGCTTCGCCAGCGTTGCCGGGGATGGCGCAAACAGATTCCGTATGTTGGCATTGCGTTCGGTGGCGCTAATTTCAGTGCTGCTGCCGGCGTCTCCGCTACTCCGCTTAACCTAAATAATTGTAGATTGTTTGCAATTGGATTTTCATTGCTTTTCTCGTCGGGACGCGGCTTTTGTTCGTGGCCGTTTAACATTGTTAATTGGACTGGCGCTGGGGCAATCCGGACGCTCAGGCAAATCATGCGCAAGGAAAATGAGCATCAAATATTGGGTTAGTTCAAAACGCAGCTGCGCAACACCAGGAAACGATAACGGTAACGATAATAATGATAGCTATTGTTATAAACTGGTTAACAAACTAAGAATGGGAATGCAGACGATTGGGGCGGGTCAACTATAGCAACTTTGGTCAACACAATGTGCTGATGTTATAATCGGATGAGTTATTTTCGGAACGAATAAGAAGCGAGCCAACGCCAGAAATGGAAGTACTTACAGTGCTGGCCAGAGATATCCTTGACGCAAGTGACATTGAACTAAACGCAAGGACTTTGCCACAGTTCAGAGGGTCATCAAATGGAAATTTTGCGTACGCCTCAAAGTCGACTCAATCTTTTCATCCGTGAAACACAGCAATCATGTGAGAAAAATTAGGAAGAGCCGAGACAACGAGGCACGAGAAAAAGGAGAGAAAGGAAATGTGAAACGTAAGAGAGATTAGCATAAGCGGATAATATGCTAAGAACGCAATGGCAACAGACAGCAACTGCAGCAGTATATTGTGAGCCCTCTCAACTTAATATTGGGTGAAGAGCATGTGTGAAACATTTAAGTGCTTATACTGATACCGATCCCGATGCTGATGCTGCTCCTGCTGCTGATTCTGTTGCTGTTGCTGTTGCTGTTGCTAAGCAATTCCCAAATGCACAGCCAACAAAGCAACAAAGAGACAAAGCCACATCAATACAAATGTGAACGACGCACAAGTGGATGCTTATGCTTCAGCTGTTCTGAGGCAGGACTAAGCCGCCTTTAAGTAAGCAAGTTGAGTGGCAAAGCGCACAACAATGGCAAGACAAACAGTAACATTATCAATAGTAACAACAACAAAAGGAAATAACAAGAACAATAATAAATACAACAAGCTCGATTTGCAGCAAATTCAGACATCAAACCAATTTTTTTTTTGTTTACACGCCCGCAAGGATAAAGGCAAAGTTTTTGACGTTCAAAATGGATGCTGTTATATCATGTGCATTTTCAAGTGGCCAAAAGATAAAGGCTTAAAAGCATTGTGTAAATATCACAACTTTGTAACTCTACATACGTTCTTATTAATTACTGCAAACCCAATATAACAAGTAATTTTTGCTTACTTTGCCAACAGTTTCTGTTTGCCTACAATTTATTTGAGAGTTTATTCATCTAACCAATGACTTGATGTCATTTGATCCAAATACGACCCAGCCACATCTCTGTTATTTGGAGTTTTGGCATTTTTCAAATGTTTGTGCAGAATGTGGAATTCGAGTACTTTCAATCTTTTGTTGTGTTGTGTTGTTTTGTGGGTTCACCAGGAAATTAATCAAAATTGGTAAGCAACAATAGGGATTAAAAGACTCACACACAAACGCCCGTTCTATCTGCTGCTACTCTACATGCAGCGGGAGTGAAACGAAGCTAGCGCAGGAATACAGCAGTTGCAGCAGCAGCAGCATCATATATACACCTACACACATGTGTCCAGAACTGAGATATACGGCGGAGATACTTCGATCTGCACGGCTAACGATAAATTGAGATGAATGCCCCGCATCCAGGCAGTGGGCGGTGCTTTGTATGTCTGGCATTTGGTCTGGCTTTTGGTCTGGTCATTCATTGTGCGAGAATCTCTGCTATGGTGTTTGGATCGGACATACATTTGCTTTCGACTCGAGTACATTTGCCTGCTCGCTGTCTATCTGCCTGTCCATTCACATTGAGCTACTGTCGGGCTTCATGATTTAACATTTTTGACGCGCCGATCGAAGTGTGTGGCTTTAAGATGCTCTACTCTTAAAGTGTTCGACGTGTATGCATATTTTATTGTAAATTTTATTGCATGTACTGCAAAGTGGGGTGTGCGACAGTGAGCACCCATTAAAATGCAACACGCATGCGACGCATTGCGATTGCGTTGCATAATTTAAGGCGTCCGCGCACGCAGTCAACTGAAACAATCAGCAGCAAGCCGCTGCTACCAATGTCATTTCCAGCGTCCATAAAATATTCATTTAAAATGCAACATGCAACACTTTGTATGGCATATTCTGCACACTCATCCGCTAGTCTCCCCCCACCACACACACATACACACTTTCGACGCATTATCGCTGGAGTAACATGCAGAAATGTCGACCGTGTTTACGTTGCATGCTGATGACAACCTCAACTGGACGAATGGACAGCCCCTTGGAGCGTTGTTAAAATTTAACACACCACAAAAATTCTAATCCCCGGTGTGAGGCGGCATGTGTGATATTCGGTCAGAGTTTGACATTTTCAACAGTTCGTGATAACAAGCAAAATAAAACAAGGCAAACAAAAACGAACGAGCGAGTACTTACCAGAAAATTTCCACCAGCTGACAGTTGGATGTGGTAGCCCAGTTTTGTGCAAACAGGCCAAATTATCAACTGTAAATAATTTTAAGATTCGTTTCATTAGTACAATGAATAACAAAGCATTCACGCGAAATTAGCAATATATGTGTATTTGCTTATTGTTAAATTTGTGTCTGCCAGAAGTATACACTCAGAAAAAAAGTCGTATTGAATTTTAGAAAATCACCATACTTTAGGCGCTAAGAGTAAATCTCATTTACATACATTTTCCCATATTTTAAAAAATATATATATAATTTTCATATAAGTATGCATATAACTGGCACTGTGAATTTCGAAAAATAAAGTTTCTTTTTCTACTTTTCAGAAATATTTGTAATAAGTTAGAAATATGTTTTTAAAACATAGAAAACAAGCTTTTGTAATTTCAGGTATTAATAAAATTGCAAATATTTTTAAGCCTTCTTTTTGTATTGTGATTGATAACAAAAATATATTAATTATTATATGAATTTGTACTTGATTTATTGACACATACTCACTTCAATTGGCAATCTAAATGGAAATATGAGTGGCCCAATTTTTGTTGCAGACATTCTGAATGTAATTGAAAATAAATTGAATTGCTCAGCTAAACCATGTAACAATAAGTCATCAAATTAGTAATTTAGGAATGGAAATTCATTTGTAACTATCAGTTGTTTAATGCGATTGACTTTTGGCTTTTGTAGCTTTTCGTCATAAGCAAAGCAAACATTTGAATGAACATTGGGTTAATGCACAGAAGTAGTTTGGCCCTTTCATCGATGTGATTTAATAGTATATGATGCAGATGGCTTGATATAAACCGCACAATAACATTGTCTCTTAAAAGCAATATCACGTAAGATATCAGATCGCAGAGGCACCACCAACAGCAATAAGACAATATAAATTCGGAGTTACGAGTGCAGGAAGCATGCTACCAGTGGCTTTCCAGGCCAATACAACTATGGACAATTATCCAATCCACTCAAACGTGGCATCGTTATCGATGTAGTCGTTTTTGCTGTTGTTGTTGCTGTTGTCGTCGTTGTCGTCATCGCTCATCAGGCCTCTGTATTTTTCTATAAGCGCGAGTTTATGCCTTAAGTGCGGGCTTTCAATAGCCGATGGGTGCCCCTAATTATGCTGGGGTAATAGGTATCAGATGGAGTGCCTCCCAAGCCAGATTCAGTCGTCGATTCACGAAGCTCACGTTTTGCTCGACGCGATCATGAGCCTTAGATTATGAGCTCAGCAAAGTCGCAGGCACTGCACGTTTTGTGTGGCAAAAGCGAAAACGAAAAGGGAAATTTTCACGGTGCTCACGTAATTGAATTGCAGTCAGCTAAATTGGCATTTATTATAATAAAAGCAAATATGCAATTTCGCTTTTGAAAAAAGCAAAATAAAAGCATTAAAGCATCAAAATACCTACAGCAAGTAGGAAGCACAAAACAAACTAAAGAAACTTGTTTCAACCAGGAGCATGTGTTGTCGCCTTAAAAGGTGAGAGGATAATCAAAGCAAAGTCAACTTAAGTGACGTGATAAATATGCTGTTGATTGAAGTGATAATGTGACAGTATAATAAATATTATGTGATTGCAACGAATTCAACACACGTAAGAATTTTAAATGGTCACTCAATGTGATAATAACCCCAGACTCATAAGCAGCTTATGAGTACATTAAATACTCATAAAAACAATAATAATACTATTATAGAGTCATTAATAAGTAATTCATTAAATTTCCAATAATCACATTTACTCTACGGTCATTTTTTGCTATTTGCGGATTGAAAATTCTTTCTTCACTTTCGTTTAACCATTTCAAAAAAAATAATTTAATAAAGCATATCAATTAAACACATATTTTAATTAAACACAAAAAAATTACTGTTATCTGTGAACAATTTAATTAGCTTGTTAAAAGAAAAATAATTCATGATAGTTTGAAGAACTCTAATCCAGCCAATGATATATGTGGAAATTTATTCAGCTCACTTAAATTAATAATCTAAAGTTCATTTCAATATATTTATTTCCAAATAATTTTTAGAACCCATTATGTAAAATAATTAAAAAGTTTCGTTGTATATATTAATTTTATTATTTAAATGAGTTCGCTTGGAAGTCAGACAAACACAAAATAATAATAATAAAAATAGTACATCAAACGAAGAGAAGAGAGTTCCAACTTCGTTTTACTTCCGCTTTAATTATATAGTTTATAGGCGATGAATTTGATACCATGGGCAAACCATGCTGCTCTTATGCAACTTTGAACTTGAAACTGCTGGTAATTGGTAAATTGGCTTGCAGAGTTAATTGTATTTGCTGCCTGTCAACACTTTCATGCTCTGCCAATTGAAAGAAACAACAAGCACGACAAATATGTATGTTGTTGTCAACAATATTAACGCTTTTGTAAATTATTATATACATCGGGCAATTGCCAAGTAAAGCAAGTTTGCAAATGTGTACACTCATAAAAAAGTCGTAATAAAATGTTGAGAATCGACCGAAAATTAAAACTATTAAAGCGTTCTGGATTTCAGAAATAATTGGTAAATAAGTGAAAGAAATTTCTTAAAATTATACAGAAAATTTTTCCGTTTTTCATACAAATTTTTCAATTATTAAGAAATAAATTTCTAAAAAGTAGAGATGTAAAATACTTATTTGTAGTAAAACGTTTTTATTTTAATTCAGAACCAAATAAAAAAAGTTAGCTTTCTGCTCAGATAATAGAGTAACAAACGAATAAAGCTAATGTAAAAATAATACAAAACAAAAACTGGATATCCAAGTTTTTGAAAAATATACGCTGGAATTACGAAAAGATAAACTCTGGTATTAGAAAGACACAAGCTTTCCTTTTAAATAATATTTATTCTGAATGCACTTTCAAAATGGCAGTTTAATTTACTATTTTTTTTTTTTTTGTTCTGAGTGTATGTGAATTAAACAAAATCCATTAGCTCATAATTTTCTGGTATGCTGCACTTGCCATCAGCACTGTGCGATGAAAACAACAGCACCGACAATTGAGCGTTCAGTTTGTTAAGCCAAAAGGTAAAATTGTGCGCAATTTAACAGCAGAGCGCGCTTTTCCACGCCAACAAAAGCGATGGGCACGTATCCGTGAAATATTGTGAAAATAGCAGCTATGTACAGTCAACAGCCAACAGCCGACAGCCAACTCATACTTGTGCTAGCCGGTTAAGTGCAGTGCAATTGCGGCAACAAAAACATCTTCCAAAATGTTGAGGGAGCTCGTTTCGAAAAATTCACACGACACAACGTCGGCGTTGTTGATTATGGGAACCATTCAAAACGAGTAGGAATTTTGTTGTTGTTATTGTTGTAGTTATTTAGCTGTTGCATGCGACTTGAATTGTGTCGGCTATACTTCTGAATTTAAGTAAGTAAAGCATATATACAAATGAGCATTAAACAAGTCCACCATATTAATACAAAAAAAATGTATAAAATTAGTAAGTTTCTCCATAAGCAAAAAAATCTTAATAAAATTGATTGAAAGTAAGTTTTAATAACATTTATTAGGCAAAAATTGCATATTATACTAAAAAAATCTCCCTTAAATTATGAAAACTGGCTTAAATTCAAATCAGTGCGAATTAAGACACTAGAATTAATTCTTAAATATTAAAAAAATAAATTTCAAAAATTAGAAAGGCATTTTTGCTATTTTACAGAAATGTATCAAAATAGAGATTCGAATCATTATTTTTAGAAAATAATGTATGTATGTATTATGTATTTATATTTTCTAAAATTCTTTCCGATTCTCCTTGTGAGAGTGGTTTTGGTTATGCTTGCCAACAAATTTTCATTGTGCAGGGTATTTTACAATCGCATTTTCTTTATGCATTATACAATATCGTTTTATATGCTCGATAATTGAATTTGTTTGCAATGCGATTTGTCCCGCAGTGCTTAGTTTCTGCATTTTTATTAACTGTAAATTAATAAATTATAAGCAATTAAATATAATTTCGTTACAAGACACACGCTAACCACAAAGCGTTTTGTCAGACAATTTCATTAGCACCAATTGACGCTGGTTAACTTATACGCAAGCCCTAAAAATGCCTCGATTTCCTGACCCACACAATTTTTTTAAAAAATTTTGTGACTCGCTATATAATGTGTTGAATAATAAACATGCAAGCACATACACATATTGTATATTCAAATAATTTCAAGCTCAACCACCAACACACAAACTAATAACAACAGTAGCAAAAGCAAATCAAGTTCGGGGGGAAAAGAAAAACAACTTTTTGGGCTTCGCGTTGAGAATATGCAATGCTGTCAACGTTGGCAACGGACATGGAATGGAGATGTTGACGATGCCGACCGGAAACTAACGGAAATCATTAGACCCTGCACAAATGACTCGAAGTGCTACTGCTTTTCTTCTGCTGTTGCTTTGAGCAATCTTATGTACGATGGAAGCATATTCAAAATTATTTAAACATAATTTATTAAAAAAATAGAAATAAATAAATATATATTAAAAAAATAACTTTTTTTTATTATTTTGTAGTAAAACTAAGATTATTTACTTATCTTAATACACATTTAAAATAAATATAACTAAAAAAAAATTGATACAATAATCTATTTTTTACTTTTTTTTCAATTTACCAATATTATATATTAATATATATTTATAATATTTATAACATATGTATGTTATAAATATAACATTCAATTATAAATAAAATATCAGCAGATTAACTAGGGGCATGATTTTCTACGTCGTCATTCTAAATCTATTTATAATACACCAAAATTAAATAGCAAAATTATTATGATTAACAATTTGGAACGTTTAGCATGGTGGCTAGTTGGCAACTCGAATAAAATGTTGCATAAATTGTGAACACTTTCCACTGTGTCGCTTTCAATGGCCTTTTGTTCGGCTCTGATATTTTTGCTTGCCCTAAACATAAAAGGCAAAGATGTGCCCCAAGAGGCATTATTGTTATTTGTGCTAGTTGTTGTTAGCTGTGGGCTG